GTGTAAGCAGCGGTGAAAGTCTTCTCCACATCTTCATCATTCAAATCCTCATTACTTTCATAATTCAGTTCTTGGGAATTTTCTATTTGCATATCTCCAGTTCTAAATAATTCTTCAGGTATACATGTCAGTCTTAAAGGTGAGTAACAATGAATTTCTCCAATATCAATTGGATGACCTTCTGTGTCGAATATGTAACCTGCAGAGCCAGGATTGCATGAAGGTGATTGTGTTGCTTTGATTTGTTGATCCACAGAGCCATTGCTCTGGTGAATGAAATTGTGTTCATCAAATAAAAGATATAAGTAATTGGTTGTCTCAGCTTTTTATCTAAAAAAATTAGTATGAAACCCAATTAGCAGGGAGAAATCCTTTGATAAATTATCCTCTTTAACACTTTACACATAAAAATCACTGTAGCCATATTCTATAATTCCTTCAATTTTTCCTGGAAGTAAAATAAAATTCTCAAAAATATTATATTATACCTAGTATATGCTAATAAGTAAAAGCTAAACTATCTTTGAAATGTAGCCCTTAAGAAGAGAGAACGTCGCACAAGGGGCCTTTGAAAAACGTGGAACGTCAAACTCTTTCACAAAATTGCAAATAACTTAGCTTGGTAATTGGGCGATCAAAACATCACAACGCGTGAGCAACTGTTTAAGCGAAATATGTAATGTCCAATTAACTACAAATAGTTGCATCTTTAAACACAGAGTTGAGAGAAACAAAATAAGAATAACTCTTGATCATTTTCTGTTCGAATATACTCATTCTTACATTTTGTATATTAACGAAGTAATGTAGCATAATGCACTATATGAGCCCTTTTGTCTACGCAAGTGACGTTTAGTATTCATGAATAACAGAGCGATACGTAATCGTAGGTAATCATATAATACGCAGAAATTATACAACATTGATTGCAAATGAGGGGAAGTCTTCGAAGCCACAGAGCCTTTGGGGGGGATAGACAAATTCAAAATCCTTTGATCCCTCCCTCCTGCGATAAATAATGACGACCCCTTACTCTTCTTAAGTCTTCTTGAAAGAATAACAGCGGTGTACTAACTAAATCGTTTGGTGTTTCGTGAAGCTTGTGAAAATATAAAACAAATCTTTCAAAGACTAAAATTTTATTTTTTAGGTGTATAGCAAGGGGGATTCATCCATGCCTCAATATCAAAAAAATATACAAGATAAAAATCCCATCGAAACAAAAAGAGAACAATCTACACAGCCTTAGAAAGTTCAACGAACGTTCACTAAGCCGGCAAACCCATCAATGTTTATTTTAGCGCGGAACAAGCTTGATCAAGTCATTAGTTTTTGTTAAGTAGGTACTTAATCACAATTGTGACATAAATATGACAGTTCAGAAATCCACTGGTCTTATTTTCATCTCGGCGCTTGAGGGGGTAGCGATAATCTTTCCAGCCTTTCCAGTTTACACCATCAGCATAGGAGGACTGATTGCCGTGACGATACCATCCATTGAGATTTGACGCATGACACGCGCTGTACCACCAGGCTCCTTTGAACGTTTCTGTGATGACCATTATCATGATCTCTAGTGGTGACTGGCCGATCATGAGGGAGAGAGGAACTAATGTTTCCTAAAAAAAACAAACTTGGAATTAACGGTAATAAAAATAATAATAAATTAAAATTCTCATAACCCTTATCAAATCATTTGCCGAGATATTTATCACACTTGAATTGTTCCGTCGGGCTAACAGGACAAGATCCGTCGGCGAACACTTTCAGATTTAATCAATGTCTAGTCTGCGCTGTCTAAGATTATTGTATTTCGGTAGGCTTAGCTTATCATTTTTTTTTTTCCATCTTTGGAACCTATTGCTGTAAAAGAATTGAAGCTTCTTTACTTTAATTTACGCTCTCCTTCCCCGTAATAATAAAAAGGAAAAGTACCGTTACACCTCAATAGGAATCACGAATCAGCCTGCATTTGTCATTCTCAATCTTGACATCAAAAGTGTTATACTCAGCATAAGCTGTGTTCTCTTCAAAGTCTTCCAAATCCACACGCAGCATGTTCTTAGTTTCTGAGATCAGTCGAGGATTCTTGTCCAGTCTCAACCAAAATTCACTTTTCAGGTCATCGAAGCCAAAAGCTACTTATGGAAGCTACAGCAAAGAATGGTTTACCATCTGCAGCAGTAATCATTGAATTCAAGATCACTGCTACTAAACTAAGGTAAGTCTCCTTTAAACTTAATTTTTAAATATAGTAAGGAGATAGGTAATGAGGAAAAAGAAGATTTTGTTATTTATTTTAAACAATCGGTAAGAGACACAGTGGCATAAATTATTTTTACCCTGGACTCTGGATCAAAAGCACAGGAGACACAGTGGCCTAATTAAGTCAGTGCGCTGGACTCCAGTGAACTGACTTTATAGCAATCCTTTGAATTTCAAGTTTTCATAAATGAGCAGCCTATTCTTCGTGTTTCTGAGACCATGTTTTTGGGTGTTTTATTAGACGACAATTTGACCTGGAAATCGCATATATCCTTAACAGCAAATAAATTATCCAAATCTATAGGTATTATTCATAAATCTAGGTTTTTTCTCTCTACTCACTCCCTTCGTACTTTATACAATTCTATGATCCTTCCATATTTGTATTATTGCAATTTAGCTTGGGCTGGTACCTATAAGTCAAACCTTCAAAGAATTGTAACCTTACAGAAACGTGCGTTAAGAATAGTAAGCAATTCTACATACATTGCCCATACTGGCCCTATTTTAAAGGAACTTAAACTCTTAAAATTTCATGATATCCATTCGTTTCAATTAGGTACTTTTATGTTTTCATTCAAGAACTCTACACTCCCTTCCAAATTCAATAACTTTTTTTTACTGAATAGTCAAATCCACAATTATAATACTAGGAATGCTCAGTCCTTCCGTTTGCCACTGTGCAGAACGAACACAAGGAAGTTTTCAATTTACTTTCAAGGTCCAAACTTTTATAATTCGTTAAATTCTGACATAACTAGTTCTCCCTCCTCCGCTTCTTTTAAAAGAAAGCTTAAGGAATTTCTTCTCTCTAAGTATTAGCTTCTGTAAGGCAGTAATTCTTAACTAACTTAGTTAATATGTGTGTGCGTGTGTGTGTGTGTACGTGTGCGCGGTCAAAGTTAATTACCATAAGTCCATATTGTAATTCTAATATAAGATTAGTTATTTTAAGTGAGAAAGCCTGACTTGTTATAAGCCTCGTGGTTTCTTTCAGGTTTTCTCGCCATTTATTTTCTGTCATCAATTTTCTTCATTTTTTTTTTTCCATGTGTAAATGTCGTATATGGCAAATAAATATTGTATTGTATTGTATTGTATAGTGTTATGCTTTCCTTTAGAGAACTGTTTGAACTTCTGTAACTCTGGTTACAAAACAAAACCACTGTTTTATACGCCACAGTCCTTCTTCCTGTCCAGCTGTTTTAATTTTTCTAAGTCATCAGATCATAGCTTTTGTGTTTAAATCTAAAGGACTGATCTCATCTTGGTACAACTGAATATTAACGTCAATAAAATACTCGATCAATGAAAATCCAGTAGAATGGTTTGAAAAAGTTATGTAGCAAGTCTAACTCTAAAACAAAGCTGCAAGATATTTGGTCAAAACAATTCAGCGGGACATGTAAGAAGTTTTAGACCTAAACGGTGTTGCTCTATTTTCCCTGGAGATAATCAAAGAATTATGACCGGTTTTAATGTCTTTCAAATTAAAATTTCATGAAAATATGAATTTTTGAACGACGCAATGTGTCGCATTTTTCCTCCGGAGTTAGCAACGGTGATATATATAAGGTTATGGCTTTCCATTTTAGAATGTATCATGCAAAAAATGTTCTCCACAAAATTACTCAATAAGTTAGACAGAAGCAACAGTAATGTAAAATAATTTTTCCCTGAAGATTTCGAGCGGCTTTTCGCAGTGTTGAAAAGGGTCATTTCATTCACGCTGAATTTTGAGGCCGGAAAACTTTGTTTTTCTAGGAACACTGCGTGAAATAATCCGAATACGGTCCCTTATGTAGGTCTTATACAGTCAGTACACAAAGTCGTGTACGGAATCTATAAGGAGGTGTCGTGATGTATAAGGTACTGTTTAAGGATCAGTATACGTCAGGCTATGCCAAGAAAATAGCAGGATCTTATACACTTGTAGCAGGATTTCTTATACGCTAGTACTCGTTTCAGTATACATGTTGTATACTGAAGGAGTTATGAGGTATACTGATGTTGTGTGGAAGGCACGTATACAGTCGTTGCAGGATTTCTTATTCATTATTACACAAGTCCGTATATATGATGTATACTGCATGAAGCAGGAAGGGTACTGATATGTTCCGTAGAAGGTTCGTGTATAGATTCTTACACTCGTGAGAGAATTACCTTTACGTCATTACAGAGGTCTGTATACTTCTTGTATATTGTAGGAAGTATGAGATATAGATACTACTGTTGTTTCAAGGTAGATATACGGATTCTCATTAGATTCATGACGAGATTTCAGGCCAAATACCAGTGTACACATGAATACTGTATGAAGACAGTTGTGTGCGTATTGTGGGGGCATTAACGAGCCTTTTTTGAGAGCAATCTTAATGGGAAAATTCACCATTCTCGAGTATTCTTACGGGGTACGTTCAGCGTTAAAGATTTTTGCATTGATTAGGTGTGATCTAGGTGGAATCATAAAATCGTGAATTATCTCATGCTTCAATTACAGATAGCTGTTAATTCATTTCAGTATTTCCTCAGTCACGTGTTGTTTTTTCAGTACATATACATGAAAAAACTTAATCTAACATTTGTGTTTCTCAAAAACAGTATTGCTAATAATAATGCGAAGAATGAAAGTTGAAATTCTAATTCACGAAAAGGTATAATCCAATGATTAAAAGTTGTTATTTATGTACAATCACACTATTCCTTTAACGCACACACCCACACAGAAAAACAAACTATTCGTTCTCAAAATCACAATCGCTTCCTGAGGAGCTGTCATTATCACTTTCTTCTCCTTCTCTTTCTTCCGCTCTGGATTCGTCAGTGGTCTCTTCATCCTCAAGTTCTCTGTTAAACCAAAAAATTTTAGGTAAACAATGTAACAACCTTGTATAAAGGAAACAAGCATATTACGAAATTCCTCATAGCATGCAATATATAGAGACAGTGAATTTTTACACCGGGTTACATAGTTTGAACATTGTTCTGTGCTTCACCTTCATAGTTGGTATACTAAAAGTAAAAGCGACAGCATCCAATAAGGAATGTATAGGCTAAGCAGTATTCTTACATTTCCGTTTGTTCCTGCTCTCTCCTTTGCATAATTTCCCTCCATTCATCGGACAGCGCCCATTTAGGAGAACCTGTGGGTGGCTCTCTTTCTACAGGCTCCCTTTTATGAGCCTTTGTTCGTTTCCACCTTTTGTTTTTTGCGTTTTCTGTCTTTTCGCTGCGCTTGTCAAGCCTAAGACAATAACAATATTATAATTAGAAAATGCCGTTGACTTGATTGAAACCGTGAAGTAAATCCAACCCTTAAAAAAAAATCGGGCAAAAAAGCGCTAATAGGTGGCTAACAAATAAACTGACTTTAAAGCCTACCTGACATTTACAGTCCATCATTGCCAATAACAAGGAACAGTCTGACAATACTGGACAGTAATATTGGCAATTTGTAAGGATAAAAACATTTCCATCTTTTTTGCTATTAGAAATATCAGTAAAGAACTAAGCCTTTAGTATACTTCTTACTTGTTTATGAAAGCTTCAAGAGTTTTGCTCCTGTATTTTGGGGGCCTAGACACCCATCCTCCTTCGCCTTCATCATTATCTGTGTCATCATCGTCACTAGACATGTGCTCTTTACTAAACTTTGCGAAGGCACGGGACTCAGTATCATCCTTGACATGAGCTTTTCTTCTCTCGTATTTCTATAAGATAAAGAAAATTTTTCTTTTTAGTACTTTTCAACTAACTTTCATTGCATCATTCAAAATGTATCATTTAAGTTATTTTAACGCATATTAACTGTATACTTACCCGTTCTTTTCGAAGATTTTTCTTATTTTTCAATTTTATTTCATCCGTTATTTTTCCAAGGGCAGTCCTCAGTAAGTGCTCATGATACTTTTTGGCAGTTCCTGAACAAAACAAAAAAGGCTTTAATTTCAAAATTGCGCGATTGGGGCCTGATTATCTGTTATGGACAATAAATCTTGCTTGCAGTGGTGTCCCCTAGTTTTAAATTGCTCATATAGTAAAGTTACGTTGTACAGCAGCTTTATCAAATCCACCTCGGTGGCCTTGGCGGCAAAGTTCATCAACAATCAGCTGAGTTACCTTTGTGTTGTGTGGGCTGGTGACCCTGATATTTGTTAATTCACGTAGTGGAAAGCAGTTTCTAGGCTCTCTCTCCATCGTGGACTGCATTACCTCTCGTCTTTACTGTGTTACCTGAAAACCTCATTTCTCTCAGGCAACCAGGATGAAGAAATGATACAGCAAAACGAAACGAAACGTGCGAAACCACCGAAATGAGAAAGCAAAACGATCGAAACAAAACGAACCTAACGACCAAAACGAACAACCGATATGACCCAAAAATATACATAAAATAACACGGGGGCGGATCTAGGGGAGGCCACAAAAAGAACAGTAGTCTATGGTCAAAGGTGAAGACAATCTTTGAATCGTACGTCCTCGATGTGAGAATAACGTAATTTTGTTTTCCAAATAAGTGGCAAATTCTTCCCAGTGCTATCACCTGGGGTAAAATTTCTTGTCGTTCTCATCATATAATGCATAGAATTTTTGTGCTTCGCAGAACGAGTTTTATTTAATGGGTAGTCCGCCAGTTCGAACGACATTTCAACCTTCCCTGTCCTTAAAGTATTCTGACTTCCGGCTCTCTGTTACGACTCTACTTCCAGTTATAGTACTTCCAATTTTGGATGATACTGCTACATCACGTCCAACCATACGTTTCACGACTGGCATCTGATAGTTTTTAAACAAACTCAAACAAAAGAGCCAACTCGTAGGCTAAACAAACAGTAGTAAGAGGTCTTATAGGCGAAGAGACACCGCCGCCAATCGGCTTTCATTGAATCCGTGCTGACCCTTAAGAATGACTACCATTTCATTTCTTCTTACATTGTTACCCCTGAATCAAACATTAAAGTCATGAGAAGAAAGGAAATGACTACCAGCTGAAGAAGCTCTTGATCGTAAAACAAATTCTCCCTGTCATCAGCATAGGAAATGTTTAGAGAGCAGTATGGGGAATAATCATCCTGATGTTAGGGTGTAAAGGGTGAAACGAAGGTGAATCGTTTGAGCCTGCCACTGACAAATTTCAAGTTGTTTTCACCAGAGACATGAATTTCAGAGAGTGAATGGTGGAAATCCACCAGCAGATTCCTCAGTAATTGGGGCGTGCACGTAAAGATATGGACTAACTACCGTCTAAGTTAAAAACTTTACACGAGTTGGGCGCCATAGCCGCAGAGTGAGCCAAAAGAACGGTCTCGGTTTCTTGATTTCATTTCCCCAGCGCATTGAAATTGTGAAAAACCGAAAACTTTTATGTATCATAGATTTTAATCATTTATAAGTAAACAAAGCTGTAAGGAGTCCTCCTTCAGCCTGCAAACCAATGATTACAAGCGATCCAATGGGCCACTTTCGATATATCAAAATTCTAAAATGGCTCCGAGGCTCGGGGAAATAGAACAAAACAAATTTAACCTACTCATCCTCACATTTGGTATTCCTACAAACTCACTTTGTAACATAATTACCTGATGAGCCATATCTTTAGCGTGACAATGTGTTCTTATGATTAAAAGTGCAATATGTTTATCAATAGCAGTGCAGGGTATTTACTCTAACAAAAGCTAACAAAATAGAAATAAAAGCAATAAACAAAGCATTTTAGAATCATCCACATTACGTTACCGCATTCCAGTGTACACTAGAGCTTGAAATTTTTTTTTTTTTTCTGATAGCGTTCTTCAGAGTCAAAACATTGGGTAATTGCTTGGGGTTTCGTTATAGAAATCAAAGGGAACTAGAACTGAATTAGCGACTGGGTTTGCTCTTCTAATCTTGGCTTGGAAAAAATGAATGCTGGGTGATAGCTTTGTGTTCCGTCAAGTGAAAATACGAGTCAAAAATTTGAACAATCAAAACTTGTATAACCGAGATTGTAGGAGTGTAGGAAGCGTGATGGCCATGATGATACAAGCCATTGAGATTCGAGGATAACACTTGTGAGTACCTCAGACCCACCTAAAATGTATGGAGACAGGGTCTTTTCAGCCGCTGCCCCCAGGCTATAGAATGTCTCACCCATAAACATTCCATTGAGTCTATTAGTTTAAGTTTTTTGAGAAAAGATTAAAGACGCATTTTTTCAGAGCTATTTATGATTAACTGTCAATTTCCAACTATGATAAGGAGCTTTTTCATGTATCGCTATGTAGATAAGTCATTATTACTATTATGATTATGATTATGATTATTATTATTATTATTATTATTATAATTATCGGTTAACTGGCCAATTCTATAGAATCAACTATTCCTATTTTCAAAAACACGTACAAAGATTAAGCAACAAAAACCTGAACAACATTTCGCTAAGCTTCAATTTAAGAGTGATTATTACATGCTGAATAGACTTGATCGCGACACTGATGTTTTTTATTAAAGTTGGTACTGTATCACTGTTGTGCCATAAACATGACAGTTCAGAATTCCACTGGTCTTATTTTCATCTCGGTTCTCTTTAGAGAGTAACGATATCCTTTCCAGTGAAACCAGTTCACTCCATAAGCATCGGAGGAGTGATTGCCACGATGATATAAACCATTGAGATTCGATTTGTAACACCAATTGTACCACCAGGCTCCTTGGTACTCAATGGCACAGTTTTGACCTCCCCTATTGCCATTATCTTGATCTCTAGTGGTGAACGGCATACCGCGATGATAAGCAAGAGAGTCACCAGAAGTTCCTGACAAAACAAGCAGCAATATGAGTATTATGTTTCACCAACAACGAGCCGTTCGTAATTCAAAAGAAATCATGAAATATCAGATAAGTATAATTCAACAATAACAAAATGGAGTAAAAGTATTCTTAGTAATATCTATGATTCATGTCGAAGATTCTAGGGATTGAATCGCTAACTGTGATAATGCTAATAAATATGTTTGCCGAGGCATTCATCAGAGTTAAACTAGTCCGTCAGGTTAACTGCGCATGATCCACCGGCGAATACCTTTGGACTTATCAACGTCCGGTTTGCCCTGTCCAGGATCGCACATCGATGAGCTGAGCTTACGCACTCTTTTGTTCTCCAAAGCTATTGATTTAAAATACGCTAAGCATATTTACATTACTCAGCACTCTCCTCCTACCCCTCCCCCCCCTCCCTTCTCCCTCTTAGAATGACTAGAATAGAAGCGACGAAATGACGGTTCTACCTGAATAAGAACCAAGGATCAGCTTGTACTTGTCTTTCTCACTCATAACACCAAACATGTTATACTCGGCATAAGCTGTATTCCCTTCAAAGTCCTCCAAGTCCACACGCAGCATGCTTTTATTATCTGAGGTCAGCCGGTGAATATTGTCCAGTCCCAACCAAAACTCACTTTTCAGGTCACCAAAGCCATGTTTGTAGTCGTTCCAGGAGCGGTTGAAATCAACCGAGCCGTTCAGTCTTTTCTGGAACACTGTCCAACCACCACCAGCTGTTGTTTGGTCACAAAATACATCAAAGGCAAGAAAATTATAAGGTTTAATGTTGTACACACCGTCAGTTGGTTTACCCGCGGATTTGAAGATTTCTGCGCAGTTCCCCTTGACTGAAAATCAGAAAAAAAGAAACAAACAGAAAAATAAACAAAACACCCACTTAAAATGGTTTGGATGTTGAGTGCATTTTGTTTGCTTTCCTGACTATTGCTCTGGCTGATAAAACTTGATTATGAACATTAACTAGTACCATTTCTTTTTCCTTAATATTTACCAGCTATATTCATGTAAAGTTACAGTAATAGAATTTTCCTTTTAAACTTTACTTCAGTGGTTACTGTTTTGTTCTTGAAGTCAAGTTTGGGACTTAAGTGAGTAACTCCTCGCGTACTAAACGAGAGACTAGCCCACACAATCCAGCCATTTCACCTTCACTGATTTGGCAGGTTTCTCCAGTGAATCTTTCCCGACAGACACAACGAAAACCTTTATAGGTGAATCCAGCTTGACAGATGCCCCTGTTTAAGCATGGGCTGCTGCTGCATGGATTCTGTTGACAAAACAAAGTAAACTTTTGTGCAGATCTTCCTTATGCCAAGAATAATATCGCTTTAGCCTAAGAAAATGAACCAATCTCTTCTACCATCTTAGTTTCTTAAGAATGTAAAATGTTACCTCGATTGCAAGATATGTGTAACCCGGATTGTTCACGAGAAGGAATGTAGCATGGTTTTCCTCCGTGGCGTTATTCAACTCGCATTTTTGGTTTCCTCCTACAACAGGTCCAACATTGATGGACACACAATTAGGCTCCATCAAACACATTACTTTGCAGCTCCCTTCGTTTGACACCTCTGCACTTTTGATCGCGTGATTTTTCATGGCCATGTTCGGTATTGCGTCCTTGAATTTGATGTGTCGGCTAGCGTCGTCTATGGTAGGCAAAACAAATATATGGTCTAGTTTTCACTCACATGAGAAAATTTCTTATTTTCACTGATGAAAAAGGCACATTAAACCACTTTATTTCAAAACTTTACTGCATGAGAACCCTGACGAGTTTTCCCTAAAGGTGATTCTCATCTCTTGAAAATTCAACGTAACTGGGAGGCTTTCATTACCAAAAATTGATCTTTGACTGTGAATTAATGAGCGGAAGAAAACATTTAAAAATATATCAAGAATATTCTCATAGCGTTCATCACCTTACCTCGATATCTGTGAATCCTTTGTTTTAGTTCATCATTTTGAGCCATTTATGTGCATGTGGTGAGGTCTTTTTGAAACTGGACTTTTTTTGTATCTTTTATTCCATAATAGAAGACATTTTGAGTTAGATAAAGCGGATTGTCTCCTTAAAGATTATTTGCTTCGATCGGCAGGTAGCATGTGCAGTTCGTGTCATGGTTTTGAGGAAACGACACCAGAAAGATGAGACACAAGAAATTCAAAAAGGGATTTATACTCACCAGTGCAACAGAAGCATGGTGGGAGAATAATTCCAAGGAACATATAGAGAATGATAATGCTCGGTTGAAGAGAAAACTTGAACTGCATCGCTATAAATAAATAATTGTAAATTCAAGGTAAAAAATATGATAGTTAGCGTCCCCAAATAGAAACCATCCTATTTTCCTTTAAATTTGAATGTTGACAATAGTTAGACAGATGTTCGGCATTATTTGCCAGCTTTGTCTACTTAAAGGGACTCTTAATTAGCACAAAATTTCGGAGGCAAATACTTCGGTGAGTTATGTTATTGGTCTAAAACACGTTGTTATGCTAACAGGCTTGTGTCATCCCTTGCGCAAAAAAGTGTGAATTTCTTCATATTAAATATTTATTTTCGACGGTGAATTAACCACTGCAAAAGGCGCAAAAAGACGAAAATAATAGACCGTTGTTCTTTGTCTGCATTGGAGAATTTTTAAATTCTTACTTTACCTTGTAAATTTCATCTTATTCTAATAAGCCATAATATTTCATAAAGCTTCGGAGAAGAACGAAATAGATCACATCATCCTTATCGGAGGTGAAAGGAGTTTATCGATATGTTTATTTTCAGCCTGTTTAACTTTGAACTTGCGGCAGTAAAGTTAAGAGCAAGAAACAAATTTTTGCAGACTTGCTACCGACAAAGGTGTTAGATCACTTCTGAAATGCAAAATGTTAACAGTTTATCCTTTTTTATCTCAAAATGTTAGTCAGTACGATAGAACAGCATTGCACATTCTTAACATGAAGATTAACTTTGTAGCAACTTTAAACTGAACAATGCGATAAAATATATGTAAAGTACAGAGGCCTAAGTAATGGCTCGTTTTGCTCATAGTAGTTAGCATGAAACATCACCCGATTTTATCTTACTTAGACTGGTCGCAAGCATTCTATGACTTTCGGATGGTATTTGAGAACTTTAACCTCGAAACTTTCAAATTTGTAACGACTTTGACCAGAAGGGTGAGGCAGAATGTGAAATATCGTGTGGCTTAATTTACAGAATTTAACACAAAATTTTCCTCGATCATTTCTGAAATCAGCGCAATTGGTCTCGGTAAGAAAGGCTTGGTCTTAGAAATATGGATAACTAGCTCACAGAGATATGCTTCTTACCTTCTGAGCCAAAGTGTTTTCCGTACTTGGTTTTGCTCTTGGGGGATATCAATAGTGAAAATTTTATGGCGTCGTGCCTTCCTTTAATGTATAGAACTGTTTGAACTTCTGTAACTATGGTTACAAGACAAAACCGCTGTTTTATACGCCACGCTCCTTCGTCCTGTCCAGCTGTTCTAATTGTTGTAAGTCATCAGGTCAAAGCTTTTGTGTTTAAATCTAAATGACTGCGGAGTCTCATCTTACTTCCACTGGATATGACAGTCAATTAATATTTCTATGAAAATCCAATAGAATGTTTTGAAAAACATATATCGCAAGTCTAACTCTTAAACAAAGCTGCAAATTTCTTGGTTAAAACACTATCAGCGAGACATGTAAGAAGTTTTAGAATTACACAACGTGGTCCTACTTTCCTTGGTGATATGTGTTATGACAGGTTATGACAAGTTCACGTTTTTCAAATTAAAAATTTATGAAAATATGAATTTTTATAACTACACAACGTGTCACATTTTCCTCCGGAGTTAACCACAGTATTATATATAAGGTTATGGTTTTCCGATTTAGAAAGTATCTTGCAAAAAATGTTCTCCTCAAAATTATTCTTATTTTCCTGAGCAACCAGAATTAAGAAATAATATCATGAAACTAAGATCCGAAACTAAAACCAAAAACAGCAAAATGATAGGAAATAAGCGACATGCAAAACCACCGAAATGACCAACACAAAAAGATTGAAACGAAATGGACCTAACGACCAAAACGAAACGACCGAAACGACCAAAATGGTAGACAAAAAAAATTGATAAAAATAAATGAATGCCCAGGGGTGTCAGGTTCCAGTTGTCATATTCATCTCATTTAGATTATGATCTACTCCTAATCTGCCTCACGGAAGTTATCTCTCTATTACCATCAGCTTGGCGTGAGGCGTCGAGGAAACCATATTGAAAAAAAAATCAATAAAAAACTCACGTACATAGATGTTGTCAATGAATACCGTTATCTGTTTTTTCTTCTCCTTATGCTTTGGTATTCAATTTGGCCGGCGTTTCGTCCTAAAAACTACAAAAAAAACTGAAGTGTTTCGTCCTAAAAACTAAAGTGTCTAATTTAGTTTTAGCTGCTCGCGTGGTGGAGAAAACATAAAGTTTCGTGAGACGGCCATAATAATTTAAAAGCCTTAAATGCGAGAGAATATCTGAAGTGAAATCTACATTTTCTGCGGTCGTTTCGTTTTGGTCGTTTTGCTTATTTCGTTTTGGTCGTTTCGTTTCGGTGTTTCGGGTCTAAGTTCATGCCGAAATTGTAAACGATATCACCACAAATTAAGCATTTTGACTCAATATCTGTCCGCTGACAAGAGTGATCTTACTCGAAAGTGCCTAGAAACTCAGGAAAAATGGCGATAAAATTCAAGGGGTACATGTCGGCTTTAATTTTTTTTTTCACCCAGGAAGCCATGGGCCTAAGTAATGATAAAATATACAATGTTAAAGAGGATGTGATATACTGTTACAAGTAAGCGTTGTACGATACTGTACTTCTAATCGTGCGCGAAAATCTTGTTTGTGGTAGGGTACTCTTGTTCAAAGAGGCTGTTGTTAACGACAAGGTAACTTAGGTCTATCAGCTTAGTTGATAATGCAAATGTCCCCGTTAAGGGTTCCTAACGCTACCATTTCGAACGCCCCTCAACAGAACTTTATGAATAACATTATTTTCATCGTCGCTCGACATAATTCCTGTGAATACCTTGACCCTCGTGCAAAAAATGGAAAGTAGCTTACAAATATATTTTCTTACCTTCTGACTGACAAAATGTTTGTTGTACTTGATATCGTGCTTGTGTGTGTCAGAAGTGAAAGTCGTGTCTTGTTACCCTCTAGAGAAGTGTTTAAAGTGCTGTAACTATGGTTACAAAACAAAACGGTTTAATGAGAGGTGAAAATAAACGCCACAGACCTTCATCCTGTTCAGCTGTTCTACTTATTTGTAGTCATCAGATCGTTGCTTTGGTGTTAACTGTGAGTGACTGGTTTTCTATATGTAGCATTGGACAAGTATAATAGTCAATGAAATACCTCAATAAAAGTCCAGCAGATGAGTTTTGAAAAAGTCAGCGAATCTAACTCTAAAACAAAGCTGCAAATGATGAAATGTGATCAGAAATTGTAGGAACCTAAACACAGTGAGACAAAGTCTCGAGCGAAATTTGAAACAAGCCTATAACGTCATAATCAACCCATTAATTTTCACGTAATTATATTGGCTACTTTACAAAAAACATTCTTTTTGTAGAGTCTGGTAAAATATTAAAAGGTGGTCGCAACTGCGCATCTGCATCAGATAAGTAATTGTTTTTTACGAGCGGTTTCGCGTGATATGAAAATTAAGAGGAGGGTACATTACAAAATAAATAAACCCCCTTCAGACTTGTTGGTATTTCGGCTGATAAGGTCCTTGGCTGAAAGACTGTCCTAAAAACTTCATATTTTCCCTCGAAGTTTTGCTTCTGGGCCAAATGTTTCTAATTTTTGGACAATATTTCAGCGGTGGACATCATGAGCCGATTTACCAGCCGCCCGAATGAGTTTATTTACAAATCAGTTGTATCTCAAAACAAGCAGAATGTCAGAGCCGTCGAAAAATCTTCAAACGATTACAGATATATCGAAATCGGCTGTCAAAGGATACGGTCATTGTTCCAAACATTTAAACCACAAAAATACCATAAAAGGGGCCTTTCTTTTTCTATTAGATTAAAGTGAGGGTTTTAAATACCCCTGAAAATATCAATGGCTAAAAAAGTGGTGTCGTGCCATCGTTAATAAAACTATTTTAAGTGCTGTAACCATGGTTACAAAACAGAAAACGTTGAATAAGCGATGAACAGAAGCGCTTTAGTTTTTCTTCTTACTCAGTCATTCAAATTGTTGCTATTCGTCAGCTCATGGTTTCGGTCTTTTAAAAAATGCCGGAAAGTCAAACTCTATGAAAAAGCCACAACTGATTAGATTTGGATGATAATTGTTGGAATAGCAAACGCAGTAGAATTGAAAATAGAAAACAGAAATATTTCTAGTTTAAGATCGTGCTTGCCTACAATTTTTGCTTTTTTAGCTGGTGGCTTGCATCGAAGTATTTGAGGGATTTGCAAAAATTTATCTTCGATTGGTTTTTCAAATTGATCGTGGAAGTACAATTAAGAGAATATTGATATTCTCTTGTAGAAGTATTAATAGTAGTGGTAGAAGTAGTAATTAATGGTATTAGTACTGGTAGAATCTCCAAAAGTCCGATTTTAACAACTAAAAAAAAATTGATCTCATGGTGGACAACAGTACAATTACATCCTGCTACGCTCCTTTATACAAAGACGGACATAGTAATTTGAAATTCTAATTCTAATCCTCTGCCAAATTGTGGATGAACGGTGTGGTTGACTAAAGTGCAAAAATGAAAATATCTATGAAAGGTTTTTTTAGATTCTTGGAGAGTAATATTGCAAGTAGCTCTATATATTTCCTTGGACGAGAGCAGGGTAGTTAGCATTAAATATCACCCGATTTTATCTTAGTTAGACTGATCGCAAGCATTCTATGACTTTCGGATGGCAACTGAGAACTTCAAACTAGAAAAAATACGTTTGTAACAACTCTGAGCAGAAGGATGTGACAAAATGTGAAATATTGTGTGGCTTAATTGACAGAATTCTATACAAAATTGTTCTTGATCATTTCTGCAATCAGCGCCATTGGTCTGGTCTAGCTGCCTAACACTTCCATGTGAATTAGTAGCAAGAATTTGGTGTTAGATCAAGATAAAAACTTCTACCTGATACAATTGAATATTCTCACTACCTGTTTGCTGGATAGTAAATGGATATTGTAGGGAGAGGTTACATGTGGATCACTTCCGGGAGTTAAAGGGTTAAGTCCTCTGGTTTGTATGTTAAGTAATATGCAGGTTTTTATCATTTCCTTGTTGTTGTATATTACGTTCAGAATGGAGGTGAAACCCCAAGCAGATGACACACCTAGCACTACATTGCACCTTGTTTGCAGAGGTTTTTTTTCCGGCCTTTCTGAACTCTACATTTTTTCTTCTTTTATTGCACACTAAAGAAAGACTTTTTGTGTAAAGTGCTACAGATACACCTTTATTTCTGTTATCAGTAAGTAAAACACTGGTCGGAGAAACTCGGTTGGTATAATGAGTTACTGGTATAAATTTTGACTCTATATTATTAATAACTGTAGTTTGTCATGATTTTATAATCATATATTGGTAACATTCTAAATAATAATAATGAAATAAAAAATTGTCACGACTTTTTTTCAAATCATTCAGTTGTGTACTTCACATAACTGTTAATAGCTGAAAATTTCCTATCTAAATTATCCATTTCTTTTTAGCAAACCGTTTTCTTGCTAATTTTTTTCAACATTTTCTAATAAAGTATAATAATAAGAAAATATTTTGATAATCTGTCATAAAATGACGTCACTTCCGATGTGAACCATGACATAGCAGCTGCATGTAGCAATTCTTGTTCAGGTGAGGAATTTGGAATTTGTAACAGAACACCTAATGAAGAGTATTGCAGTATTGTGTTTCCTAAGGAAACCAGTTTATTGTCTGAGCTTCATCAATTGAATAAAACTAGCAGTACGCGGTCAAAAAATTGTGATTCGCATCAGAAGTGACGACATCCTGAGATAAACAATAATATTTTGTTATTAACATTGAAGCATCAAAATTTTGGAAGATTTTTATTTCAGAGGTCAGCCAATTTTTTTTTTTGTTTTGTTTATGATTTTCTCATTGAGCAACAGTATTTTAACAACAGACTGAGGAAACAGAAATTTTCAACTTTCAATTCCTGCTGGATACTCTCTATATCATGTCATTTTACTGATTTTTATAACATAAAAGGGCAATACCTTAAGGCCCAAACCGACTGTCACATCAAGAGAATGGAACAGGAGCCTTGCACTTACCCCATGCCCATTCTGATTTCCTTAGCTTTTTTAATGGGCTATTAAAGAAAAGACTGGTAAGGGACCTTTTTTCTAGCTGGGTCCAGAAAAACCCTCAAATCTGTAAATATTAAAGCTGCAAAATTTTCATGCTATACCATGTTAGAAAAATAGATATTTTAGAACTTTAATTTTCAACTGAATAAATATTTATATTATTTTCTTTATGCTGTGTTGCCAATCTACGTAAATTCTTCTTCACAACCATTCTTTAAGATGTCAAGCATGGCTCCCAGAGTGCTACATGACATTCCAAAAAAATCTGCGAAGGAGACTAACCTAAGTGTGTACTAAGGTGCCTCTTCACTTCCTTCAAAGAATGCACCTAACACTGAGAATCTCTTGTGGAAAGGCCTTTCCTTGCAAGTGTAGGCACCGGTGAAAGTCTTCTCCACATCTTCTTCATCATTCAAATCCTCATTACTTTCATAATTTAATTCTTGGGAGTTTTCTATTAACATATCTCTAGTTCTAAATAATTCTTCAGGAATATATGTCAGTCTTGAAGGTGAGCAACAATGAATTGCTCCAATATCAATTGGATGAGCTTCTGTGTTGAATATGTAACCTGCAGAGCCAGGATTGCATGAAGGTGATTGTGTTGCTTTGATTTGTTGATCCACAGAGCCATTGCTCTGGTGAATGAAATTGTGCTCATCAAATAAAAGATACAAATACTTGGTTGTTTCTGCTAAGAAAAAAGACTCCATCCTATCCTCTTGCTCATGTGTTTTGACATCTTTTATCTAAAAAAAAATTTTATGAAACTGAATTAGCAAGGAGACATCTTTTGAAAAAGTATCCCCTTTAACCCTTTACACATAAACATCACTGGAGCCATATTCTACAATTCCTTAAATTTTTCCTGAAAGTAAAATAAAATCCTCAAAAATATTATACCTAGTATATGCTAATAAGTAAAACCTAAAATATCTTTGAAATGTATCCCTTACCTACATTTTGTAGCACTAGCCACAGCACTCATTGAGTCACTACACAACAACTCAAAAAAAAATGCTGATAGTTGTGCACTCAGATTATTTTAATGTTTTAAGGTGATGTTTAACTCACTGTAGCATAACCACATGGTGTCCTAGCACTGCTCTCTATTGATTCCAGCATATCCCTCCCTACTTCAAGAAAATATGGATCCTCTGTTGCACGATATAGGTACATGGCACTCTCAATCAGCTCTAAAACAAATGCAACAATTGCTGTTAAAAACAAACAGAACTGCTAGGTTTGCAAGATTCCCTTATCAAAAAGCTGAGCAGTAGTAATGCCCTACAAAGATGTACAGTCAAGCCTGTATTATGTGGCACTGTATAAGAGGTCACCCTGTATTAAGTGGTTGGTTATCAGCATCCTGAAATTTTTCCCCCTCAACCCTTTAACTCCCATGAGTGACTAAAACAGAATTTCTCCTTCTAATATCCATAAAACATTAACCCAAAAAGTGATTAAATTAAAGAGTAAAGAAAACTATCAATTTGGGGAATAATTAGTTGATCCAATACTAAATTCTCTGAACTAACATTATAAGAATTGTATGGTTGACAGTAAGGAGAATTACAAATGTGGTCTGGGAGTTAAAGGGTTAATAACTGTATTGTTCTCCATCTGATTAATGAAAGGTCACTTGAAGCACAACCACTCAACAAATAAAACTAAGAATAATCTTTCAGTAAAATTTCAGCCATATCTTTATCTCCCAAATTAACCTTTATAATATTTTTGACCAAGTTTTTGTAAATTAAGTGGTAAATTATGGGATTTTTTTATACTAGTATTCAATGGAACCTGTACATGAAGCGGTCAACCTGCTTGAAGCTATCATCCTGTTATTCCCTGTGGGTGACTCCTTAATACACGTTGGATTATTTTAATATTTATTTCTCTTTGAATGGTTTATTTTCCTTATTTCTCCACAATACATGTGGGAAATTGTGGCTTGAACTGCATGAGGCAGTACATAAGAAAACTACTGGTCTGTATCCTTAAATGAAGTGAATAAGAGGAAATGATATAATACACAACAGCTGCTTTTCAATTCTCATACAAAAATGCTTTACTAGCACACTTTGTTCAATGGTGCAGTAGAACTGTTTTATTTGTGTTGCCAGCATTTTCATACAGAAAAGTAGGAGAGGGAGAATGGTGTAACATAACAGGAATATATATTGTATTAAAAAAAAAAAAAAAAGCTTTGGCCATCAAAATATGATTATTATTTTTCTACCTGGTCTCAAGGGATATCCAGCTCTTCCAGAGTAAGGCTCTCCAGATGCAATCTGATAAAACTCAGGGATGAATCCAAAATGCCGCCAGACACTGTGGTACTTTTGAAGAGTTCTTGATGCTGGTCCAATATCACCCCATAATGTCTATTCAAAAATATCAATTTTAAATGTTAACCATTTCACTCCCAAGATCTCATTAATAATCGAGATCTCCTTACTGACCGCTAAACAATTCTTGTAATGCTTGTTTTGAGAATTTGGTATTGCATCACTAGAAATCCCCTCATTATTATTTACTTTATTCTCATTACTTGTCTGCTTGATACTGTATTGTTATTGTAAGGAGAAATTCTGTCTTGGTCACTCATGAGTGTTTGAGAGTTAAGACTACAACCTACTGACTAACATCATGTAGTGCCAGATTTCAAAGGAGATGGCTGCAATCGCAATCATCAGTTAATTGTTTTGCAATGTGTCTGCTAATCAATGACAGCTGTCACCTACCTGAAGTCCTGGCCAATAGGCATCAAGAGACTGAAAGATTGGCATTGTAATCTGACCCTTATCCATATGGACCCACACATACCAATCACTAATCTTCAAGTGCTGCTGAACTTTGCCATACAATTCTTTGATAGAAAATAAGAATAAATAATGATAAACTAAAAAGTTAGTCACCAAGTAAAATGTGTGCCTAAAGTAAGCATCCATAATTTTCTAATTATAATAAGTTAGAGTAATGACAATGATGATAACAAAAATGGGAAGTTGGCCATGAACATTCCACAAGGTGACTCTTCTTGTACACAGTTTCCAGGTCGAATTGGAATTTGGAATGTTAGATTTTGTGGAGGGAGGAGACCCAAAAACCTGGAGAATAACCCACTGACAAAGGATGAGAACCAACAAAAAACTCAACCTACATGTGATACCAGGTTCAGGAATTAAACTTGGGCCACAGCAATGGGAGGCAAGCACTCTCACCACTGCTCAATCCCTGCTCATAAAATTGTGTATATTCCACTAGATCTGAATGTTATTTTTTATGGCTCTCATTTCAGTTTATCTTTTCCTTATCCTGTGTAATATCATGATAATATCCAAGTTAGGAAGGCTTGTAAAGGAATAAATTGCATGTGAAAATACCAGCACTCAGACCAGTAAATTATCCTGGCTTACCTTTGAACATGTCTACCAATATTGGCAAACTAAACAAAATACCCCCTTTAAGGAGATACTCAAAGTAAGAGTCAACACCAGCTCCAATGCCTGCATCCTGTGCTGTCCATTTTCCACTCAGTACATCAATATGGTTACCCACCTAAAATAGAGAGTGAAAAAAAAAGAAAGGAAAATATTATGTTATCAGGATTGTTCCATGACAATAAACAGCATAACACAAAAACCAAGAAAGCTCTGCGGTTGATTGTACATCAGTTTATTGAGGTGTTAGGAGGGGAGAGAGGAGCAAAAATTCTGGTAGGAAGGTGTGGTAGGGGCTTAACTTAAAGCATTTTACGCAAGTATTTTTATGTGGACATTCTTACCCGAGAAAGAGGAGGGCTATTCCCCCTTCATTTGTACTGCAGCCTGTACTGATGTTTGGGTGTCAAAAGGATGCTGAAAATTGAGACCCACCAAAGGGAGTAGGGAATGATCTAAGGATGCAATATTAGGTAACAACAAGAAGAAGAGCACTGGATGCCATGTGCATTAAGTCATGTAATTATATTCACAAAACAAACTGGCACACATTATGATGCATATCCATCACATCGATGGCTTGTATTTAGCATGAATATCATGGAAGAGTTAAATCTTTACCAGTCCAAGCTTTGATCTGCTTTTCCAAAGACCTTCTAAAGCTTTCATAGCAGCATCCCTGAATCTTTGATCACCTAATTGAAACATTGAATTTAATAACAAAGCAATACTTAACAAGGAACTTCTTGTTACCCTGTTATTTTTATTAAACACTGGATACTTCATACATTCAGGGGGTTCAACAAGCATCAGAGATAAAAGAATTCTTTGCCTACTACACACACAATTCTCCAGCAATGTTTTAATGGCCTGAGCTATTACCTTTTAATTGGACATGAGGAATATTCACCAGTTACTTTACACTACTCTCAAGCTATATGTAACACATTTCTTTACACCCATATCAACTAAGCAAGCTTGGATAGTGAGGCATTTATCACACAGCGAAAAAGATTACACTACAAAACTTATCATGTTATGCTTGTTTCTCTGTTTTCAGGGGAAGATAGTGACAGTTGTTTTTTGGTTACAATGTCAACTTGACTAGAACTGGGTGATTCCAGGGAGGCCTCATATTGCCTGCTCAGAAAGTCAATCAAAACATAGCACTCATTTTACTGATCCTACTTACTGAACAAGTCATATAATAAAGATTATTGTTACCTGTCAAGGCGCTGATTGTTCCAAACTCTACAATGAAAGTGCCACACCCTGCAGTACAGGTGATTGGTGTCTCAGATGGAGGGACTCCATAACGAAGATTCACAGTACCATATGGCATTCCAGTTGGGGTGTTAAAAGCTGAGAATTAATGACATACTTTAAAATTGTGCTTTCATATAGAAAAAAAAGTTATTCAAGTACTCTGCATGACCTTTCTTCCTTGCCTGCCCCTACAAAGCAAAAATATAACATACTAACCCGGCAGCAGCCTCTCAGCTGCATCTACTGCAAGTCTCAACAGAGGGCCTTGGCATGGCCACCCTTCCTCTACAGTCACTCCAGCCCTTGGTGCAAGTAAGTGAGCTGACAGAAGACCTCCAACAACTAATAAAATGTAAATATTACCTATTGTTAATAATAAAATAATTATAATAAAATGATAAATTTAGCTGACTGTATACTTCACATTGCAATATGAACATTAATCAATTAAAAATAAAATTTATTTTCAGAAGGAGCATTATTGTTAAAAAGTAATAATGAAACATTTGTCACCTTTAGCAAAAAAGAAAATTTTTGTAAAAGGGTTCAGACTACATGTATTGTGCTTGAGAACAGTAATAATTTGAATTTATCAACTAAGTTCTCACCTCTTATGTTTGTTTCAAACACAGAAACATTAATATCCATATCAAAATCTAAAGTTTGTTCCAGCAGATTTGTGATCCTCTGGAACTCTGATGTGTTTCCAAGAACCTGAAAACACATTTAAGAACTCAACATGACACAAGTACATAGGAACTCTGTTGGTATTTATTGTGAAGACTTTTTAAAATGTCACCATTTTTCAGTTAGTATTAACCAAAAGGACTTTTGAAATTATGGGAAGAGATGAAAGAATGAATGATAAAGTACTTATTTAATGGCTTAATTAGGGAAGGAAGGAATAAATGAACAAATTAAGGAAGGAACAAAGAAACTACATTATGTATCAACTTTGAAGTGAATAAGCAAAGGTATAGGTGTAGAGATAAAAAATAAATGAATGGGTAAATGTATCAGACATTATCTCAATCATTCCTTAATTTCTATGGTTCTAACAACTTTATACAACTCACTAGCAGTGTGTCCAGGGCATCTATCAAGGTTAAAGAGTAGCTGATGATATAAAAAATTATACTTCATGTTTAGAATATGCAACCTTTGCTGTCAGTAATTAATGTGATCTTTTTGCTAACCAACATGTCTAATCTTTGGGTAAATGCTTTGAACCCTGCTGAAATAGTTCATTGTGTGCTCTGATTGTCCAGGTAAGAGTAGCTCCTGAAAAGAGTATATGACAACTTTTGCAAATGGAAAACTCTAATGAGGGCTATGTATGAGAAAAACAGCCTACACTATCTCCTCTTTCAACCTTACAGTACACCCTTAAATATAATTATGTTCCTAGAACTCTGAGCCATGCAACACCCCCATTTTTAATTCTTTAATTTTTTTAGACAATAGAGCTCAACAGGATTTAAGACTAAACTGCTGACTTTGGCAGTTTAGAACTCAGAGTCCCATACTCATACTTATTGTTTTAACCCTCTGACTCCCAAGATCCAATTAGCAATTCTCCTCTCTGGCCATGTTACATTTCCTTGTAGATCAGAGGGGTGAGTTTGGTGATACACCACTCGGACATCTCTGGCTAATAAGCCTGTCTGTTCTAATAACCTCTTTGCAAGATAACTTAGTGGAATCACAGGGAGAACTTATATGTTCATCACATCTGGGAGTAAGAAGGTTGAGAGAATTTCAAAATATCAAACTTGGGCTTTTGCTGAAATTTGATTGTAGCTTAACAGTTAACCCTTTAACTCCCAAGATCTCATAAGTAATTCTCCTTTACTGTCTGCCATATAGGTCTTCTGATATTAGTTTGGAGAATTTGGTATTGGATCAACTAATAATCCCCTAATTAAGATTTTTCTTTATTCTCATCACTTATCTGCTTGATGTTGTATTGATATTGTAAGGAGAAATTCTGTTTTGGACACTCATGGGAGTTAAAGAGTTAAAGTAATCTTACCTTCCCCATGTGTCCTGGCCACTACAGGACAAAGGCTTTAATTCATCATAAGGATAAGCATGTCTAAGATAACTGTCATATCCATGATAAAACATAGATTTTGTCTTTAACCTGAAATAAGGAAGAGTTCCCCTTCACAATTATTTTCAAAATTACCATGATCAACATAACTGCAATGCTCCAAGCACAGTAGTTATGTTTGGTAAATTTTTTGTATGTGGTCAGTGAGAAAATATGTAAATAATTCATGGGGTGTTGCATACCCTACAATTTAAAGTCAGAAGCTGATATGCTTTTACTTTACTTCTTTTACATTTACTTAATTCTGACACTAAAAATAGTTTCAGGCTCGCTTTTCCTGATGCAATGAATTATTCTTGGAACACAACTCAAATAAAACACGCGTATCTTAGAGATAACTAAATGTGCTCTTCTCGATTTTGGCTTGTAATGATGTTTGGAACAAAGGGCAACTCGCGCCTGTATGACCCACTATCTGCACACGCGGTTCAAACAACTTCCCATGATTGTCGCACATACAAGAGATATGCTAATACTCTGCATCACTTCCTGCAAAATATTGCGGGCTTTTCTCTGGCGATTTAAGAGAATCGAACTTATCAACAATTAAAATATATGATAAAATATAATAGCCCCCGTAATAATTCACGGAATATCGTAGTTTTCGTGCTCCTTTCGTGATTTCAGCGTGATGAATTATCTTCGAACGTGTAAAGACGTGATGCACTAAAAACAGCTGGAAACATACATCATATAGTATTTAGCCAGATTTGATTTCTTTACTCACCTATAATTTTCTATCTCCTCCTTTGTCATACATTCTCCCCAAATCATCAAAAAGAAGAGCAAAAATAATGAAGGAACCATTTTTCGACGCATTATTTTTGTAAACTGTGTAATTCTAAGATAATTTGTCTGTCGCGTGATAGTATTTACAGTGACAGATTCATATAAGTAACACCGTCTTCTAAATGATGGACTTTTTCAAGTCTCTTTGACTTAGCTCTACCGTCAGTCTTTCGAAAAGTGATCATAATATCCCTGGCTCTCACTAAAAACAACTAGAAAAAAAATGTAACTTCAATCTACATTGGCCAGTTGGATGATAAAACGTAGTCTCAGAGGGGAAACCGCTAATCATGATATCTCTTACACCGCGGGATACACTGCTTTCCTCTTACCTTGTCAGCGGTTTCCCATAATGACGGTCAATAGCGGCAGAGTTTGAAAATTACCCGTGTCACAAATTTGTGAAGTAGTGTTCTGAAATGTCAATGCCTGATGTACACAACTGCCTATATGTAAGCCATTTCGGCTGAGTTTCAATTATCGAATTCATTCATTTTCGTTGTTCAAACACCTTAGACTTATGGTCATTTCCTCAGCTGTCTTCTGAAAATGAGCGGATTAGAAAGAAATACAAGAAACTTGCAAGAAGAAATGGAGTGCTAGAAAGAGAGCTGAACGATCTAAAGGAGCAGTTTACTACCCAAAGATTTATGCAAACTAATTCAAGAAGGTAAATTGTAGGTCCAGTTGTATATTTTCACTCTTGACTTCGAATTCTTTCCATTGAGTATGTTGTGTATTAATATTATATAATATGACGTTTTGCGCCAAGATATTTATCGGTCCTATCGCACTGGAATGAACCTTAATCCGCGCACAAACTGTCTTGAGCAATACCTGTTTATCACTGACGGTATCCTTCGTGGGCTTACAAGCAAACTTGCCTTTAAGCAAAGATCGAAGTGTTTTTGGCAACAGAGAGCAGGCTTAATATAATTTCATATAATAATTAAATTTCTTAAATGTGGCAAACCAAATTTAGTTGCGCAAACGTTCTCAAAGCTGGATGTTTATGAAGCACTATAGATTTGAGAATTCTCTCCATACTCTTTAGAGTTCTCCTGCTAAATTCTGATGGCCTGGCTTTTTTTTTTCTTTTGTTCGTTTCAATGTCAAGAACGTTCTCTTGTTACCGTAAGTTTACATTATTCTCCTGCATCAAACTGCTTAATTAAAACCTTTTTGAAGAGATTGTTCATTCGCCCCCTTCTCCTTCCATGTACAGTGTCCAAGTTCAGACTGAAGAAAAAAGACAAAGAAATGTTGGGGGATCAGCAATAAAATCAAACCAATACGACAGACAAAAGAAACCAGCTCAAGATGAACAATTTGAAAGTACAACCAAGTTAGTTGTAACTTCATCTTTCAGTTTTGACAAGGCACAGTTTATTAATTAATATTTGTTTTATTTTGAAACTGACTGAATGTTAATGCAGCATTTCATGCTGTGACTGTTCTGTTTGTCACAGGAAGTAGAAAAAATTGTGGTGACTTAATTTCATGCAAGTGTGGCTACTTGTGCTTCGCAATCATGTAGCAAGCTGCAGCTACTTCTTACATTACTTTTTGTTTTTGGTAGTAAGTTTACTGAAATTAGCATCTGCTTTCAACACCACTATAATGTCCTGCTGTTCTCATGGAGAAGAATGGCCTCTGGTTGTTGGAGTAGGGAGTCTTGGAATATCCATTAGCCTCAAAAAACATTTTTTTATAGCAATATTTTTTTTTACTTTAGGTTGCCAAGTGGCAAGGGCTGTTAAGTAGATACACTTTGCTGAGCGAATTTGATTCAATCTGATCTGTGAATGAAATGTGCTAGTAAGCTTAGAGTAAGCCAAAATTTTTCCTGTTTTAAAAAATGAGGGACCTGTTGGTACATAACTCAATTATCTGCTTTATTGTCCAAAATGTCTCCTGTTTTAAAAAATTAGAGACCTGTTGGTACATAGCTCAATTCTTGCTTTATTGTCCTGCTCTGTATCATCTATAACTTTCATATGAAGAAAAGTTGCGTCTTAAATATAGTCTTTTGCTTTAGGATGTTGTCAATGCATAACAATCTTATGAAGAGATACCAGAAGGAACTAAAGACTAACACAGCCCATGTGGAACAAATTGCTACTTTGAGTGTGAGTATAAATTTCTCATTGTCAGAGATGAAAAATCTAAAATTGACTGTACACATTAATCACAGTTGGAAAACAGAGATCTGGAAAAGAAACTCCAAGATGCCAAAAGAAAAATAGATGAATTACACAAAGAGAATGGAGCTCTTCAGGCCAGAATTAATGCTGTGGGCATTAAGGAACGACTAACACCTTCTAAGAGAGGTACGAACTATGACCATTTACTCTCCCTTTAGAAGGAAAGTGATCTCAATCATTTTCTATTTCATCAATGTTTCAATCAGATTTAATGGCTGATCTCCGTAAAGTTTCACAAGAGAGAGATAGGATTGCTAAGGAAAGAAAAAAGTTTAAAGGTTTGGGATTCATTTCATTACTATATTAATAACTAACTTTTTTTCCATCTCTTTGAATTAATCCTTTAAATCCCTGAAGTGATGTAACTTCTCCCCCATTCCATACATTATCCAACAAACGGGCATTGAGAATGTTCAAACTTATGAGGTAGAGGTTGTTTTCTTGATCCAACACCAAATTCTTGTAACTAATCTACAAGGAATTGAGTAGCATCTCATGGGGAGAATTCACACTAGGATCTTGGGACTTTTGGGGTGAAGCAATTGTCAATGGTGCCAAGCAGTCTTAAGTAAATATTAACCTTTAGTGACAAGATGTACTCACAGGGAAAGCAAATTGGCCTGCTTGGGAACACCTTTGTTTGTTTGATTTTAAAAGTGAGTAAATCTAGAGAACTTTTCACTAGGTTTAAAACCCTGAAATTGTGGTTGACTTGTTAGAACAAACCATTAAATGTGAGAAAAATGAACAGCAAAGATTTGTAAAACTTCAAATCAATCTCTGTCTATATTCCTTTGATGTAAAAGCCCATACGTGATGACCCAGTTCAAGACTTCACTTGTCAGGTGTTACACTCCACTTGGTTGTGTCTCTATCCTCTAATTTCCACATACTTACATGTAATGGAATGTGTATGTTAGTCATAAACCATATTTGTATCAGGTGATATAATTTAATACACATTTTTTCCTATGTTTGTATTTTAACCATGGGGTCAAACACTCCACATTGGTCTTTTCAGATGAACTCAAGATGTTGGACCGGGTAAGTGAAATACTGGAACTTTAATAGCAAGTCAAAGCAATTTTTCTTGTCGTAGCAGGGGAGCACAACCGCCCCCCCCCCCTTAAAAAAACATAGAGAGGAGGGGAGGGCACAGCCTTCCACTCTTGTGTGTCAAAACTTTGCGCAATGCTTTCATTGCGTAGAATTCCTTCTTCAAGTCTTTTCATATCTTGAATCATCAGGATTGTGTTTGGTGAAATACTATATTACATGATTCTTTTTCAATAACTCCTATTAATGCAATATTACATGGGACACAATTCTAAAAGAGTTTGCTTGTGCCAACAAGCTACTAAACAATCAGTCCCCCCTACATTCTAAATTTCTCTGGCACCTCTCCTTGTATGTCAATAGAAGATCTTTGGAAGAATGAATTTGTAATTCCTAGGTCTAACTCCTGTTTGGAGGTATCCTTTTCCCAAGCATCTTTTTTTCACTGTCTGAATAAAAAACTTAATTTTGTGTATTCTCTGTGATTTTCTTCAGGGATTCTTTGAAGAAGTAGAAGACTTAAAATATGCCCTTCAACAAGCTGCAAGACTGAACAGTGCCTATGAGAAAGCTCTCAAACAACTGTGTTCCCAGTATGGCCTTTCCTTCCCTAAAATAACAACTACAGCACCAACAAAACGCCATAGGAAACGCACAAGGTCACAAGCAAGAGAATTTACAAGTCAATAGTATTGTAACAAATAATTCAATCTCTGCTCTTAACCCTTAAACTCTCAAAATCTGGTTTTTAATTTTCCTCACTAGCTTCTACACATTTCCTTGTAAATTAGTTACAAGAAGTTGGTGTTAGATCAAGGTAACAACCTCTACCTCATAAGTTGGAGTATTCTCATTACCTGTTTGCTGGATAATGGATGGATATTAGAAGGAGAAGTAACATGTTAATCAGCTCTGGAGTTATAGGGTTAAAGAGCAGAACTGTTATGTAATTACTACAGATGATGAATTATAAATAAGGTTAAAAGAATTAATAGCATCCAGGAAGAAAAAAATATTTCATGCTGCTCATTGGTTAGCTAAATAGCTGGAAATTAAATCAAGTCGGATGATGTTAGTTTGTAATTAACAGTTCCAGTATTTCTATAAACTTTCCAGCCTTAAATTATTAATAGCCCATTCAGTATCAGCTAACAACCACCAAAAAATTTACATGTATCATTTGTGGTTAAATAGAGGATCTGCTTAAGTAGATGTCAACTTTTTTTTTTAATAGATACTTATTATCTTTTAATAGGTGCAATTTATGAGCAGATCTAAAGGATACTACCAGTAATCTCTACTAAAACAACCTATTGAGAGACTTACAGAGTTTTGTGGTTTCTTTGTTTTTTTTTTTTGTTTTTTTTTTAACATGTTACTGTCACAGACCAACCATTGTGTTTAATCCTGCTTTCTGTCATTCTCAAATATTCCTTTTCAATACACCAAGTGTGAAACCAGCACACTTATGCTGAGGCATAGTTGAATGTCAAAAGAAATTCAACTCTCAAGGCAGACACCCTCAGGGAATTAGGAAAAGTATTCATTGATAGAACTGTCTGCCTACAAGAATTATTCCCATAAGCGAACTCCGAAGAAAAGAGGGTGGATGTTGGTTAACAGGAGAGCTTGCTTGCTTTCCTGTGCACAAATGAAGATTTTATAAAACTGACCCTGATGCTATATTGCTGAGTCAAAGTTCATATTTTTGTTGATTTGCAATGTCAAGACAAATCTTATTGCTAAGAGTCAATTATTATCCATGGAGAATCCCCTTCAAGAGCGTTAAACAAAAGAAAAATCCAATTTTCAATTTTTTAAGTGTCTGTGTCCACCTATGAGGGAGTGTCCGCTTATGGGAATGTATAAATACAGAGTTTGACTGGGAGGCAAAAAGGAGAGTTTAAAAAGTGTCCATAAGTAGAACTGTCTGCTTACATGAGTATCTGTTAACAGAAAGTTGACTGTGTTTTAAAGATTTCTTCAACATTGAACACAGTGATATATATGATAGGTTAAATCATGCATGTATTTTGATTGGTTCCTACATTTGATCTACCAGAGAACAGACACATAATTAGATGATTCACTACTGACAACATTTACTTTTGACTTTTTATCATACAAAACAAATGTATTCCATGTTGCTGTGGATTTGTTCAGTAAAAAATCACACATGACATCAAAATATGGTAAGAACATCATTCAGTGACACTTGGCTGTGCCTTGTGTGCCACTTTTTTCTTGTTACCACTTTTGACATCATATGTGGTCTATCACTGAACAGATGCACGACAACATGGAATCTGTAATAGTCCTAGGTTGCAATTATCGTAACAAGAAAGTTGATCATGTAGTCTGATCATCTTGGTGAGAATAGCTGAGACAGATTGTGTTGATCATAGTTACTGATATTTTGTCAACTTTGCAGAAGTTGTCAAACAGAGTTGACTGTTTCTTCTTGTCTTTCTCAGAACTACTAACCACTCACACCTGGATGATCACAGTACACGGTGAAATGTTTTTTAGGTGGTTCTCCTCAACTCCATCTTAATACCTTATTAATTAAAAAACAATTGAAGGATAAGGGCACCATTGAAAGTAAGAACTTAAGGAAGAAAATCATTAATTAAAAGTTATCATCTGTCTTGAACTGACTGAGCCAAAACTTGCTGTAGAATTGCATCTTCGTCATTGTTAAAGTCCTGTGAGATGAGAATGATTTAAATTTTTTACTGTTCACCTACGAGCTTGAACTGCAGAGCTCAATAAATTGTTGTGGGGTTCAATATTTTTATTCCCAGTAAAGAATGTCAGTAAGAGATTCAAGGATTACAGTGGAACCCTGTTCATACACTCACAAATGGACAAAACTGAATGTATTAACGAGGTGGCTGTATTGCCAGGGCAAGGTCAAATGTCATAACTTTAGGGCCATAGTGACAAATATATTGCCTTTGCACTTACTAAGCAAGTGTTTTCTTCAACAGGCAACCAGAATATCCATTAGATATATGTTCAGTAATTGTCACAGTGGAAAAAAACTTAAAGATCCACTCAACACATTGAAAATTGGCAAAGATAGGCACAGGAATTCAAAGAAAAATTAACTTCTTAGTCTTTAATGATCATAATTTTTTAAACCCACAAAACTGACTCACCACATATGTATCATATTCAAAGTTATGCCGCAAATTAAGATGTTGAACAAAATCACCGCTCTTCTGATTGGGATTTCCCCACGGCATGCTGGCACAGATTGGGCAAACCTAAATAAAACAAAATGATTCAATCTATTTCTCAGTATGTTACACAACCCAACACTGCCATGCTTTGTTGTCAATGATTAACAATTAACTCTTACCTCCCCCTTCCCTCTTCCCCCTATACAAACCAGCCACATGAGCTCATCCCTACTAAGACTATTTCGCAACGAATCACAACATCAATTATTTTAGAGCACTTTTAGTCTGAGTTTTGTAAAACCAACACCAAAGTCGCAACAGCTAATCAGAACAAAGGAAGATATCGCAATGAGCCAAAGAGAACTCAGTAAAACAAGCAAACCACCTGAGGTGCAGCAAAACACAGTGACCAAGTCGTAGTTGGTTTTAGTTTTAACCTTTAACTTCCAGATCAAATTTGTCATTCTCCTTACTGTCAACCATACAATTCTTATAATGTTAGTTCAGAGATTTTAGTATTGGATCAACTAGCTATCCTCAAATTGATATTTTTCTTTATACTCATCACTTATCTGGTTGATATTGTATTGATATTGTAAGGAGAAATTCTGTCTTAGTCACTCATAGGAGTTAAAGGGTTAATCTAATTGGTTAGGAAAGTGGAGCCTTGTTTCCCTTTTTCATTTACATAAACTATTCAAATTTATTCTTCAACTTACCACAGATTGCCTCTCATTTTTGTGATAATTGTTCACATGCTTTAACATTGCTTTACTGTCCAAGTTACTTCGGGAGCAAAAGGGACAACTGAATGTTGATCGATTTTTAAGCCTAGAAAGCAAATCAAATGAACAGTGTTGTTGGTGACAGTAAAAGTAATCACTTATTCTAGCAACATGGTAACCTTGCTATCCCAAATGTCTGTTCACATAATTAAGGCAACAATAATGTTCCAGTAAAATAAAACTTACTCTGGCCTAGGTTGTGAGGTACGAGCAACAGGGACAAAAGGTAGTGGAGAAACTGTCTCACAGGATGATCTGTGCTCTCTTAATCTTGACATAGGAAACTGTGATAAAGAGTAACAAAAGAAGTGAGCTATTACCTAATTTCTATTCATAATTTTCACTATGAAAATTAATTTTAATCAGTTGTGTTGTGTGATTATCCAGCAGAGGGCCAGCAGAATGTTGCCACCACCCAAAACAATGCTCATTTTTAATTCCAGATTATGCAGATCGCACTCCATGATTGTTTGTTGATATTAGGTTTGAAATTCATTCAAATTCCATGGAATTGTCAATCACTAGCACAAAAAAACCAACAACATCAAAGGTGTGACAGTTAATGGACTGATGACCTCAAATCCCCAGGTAATGCATATTATCTATTGAAATACGAGTGAGGAATGGTTAATTTTGGTTCCAATTTTACCTTAATAAATCAGTGGCTTTACTTTCATGGTGTGCATGAATGAAATTTAAATTCATATTAATTCAAAAAGTGAAGGTTGATCACATTGATGTAGACAAATAAATGTTTGCTGATGTTGATTTTACAAAATTTTCTTCCAGTGAGGTCTTCATTAACAATAATCATTTGAAACACCTTTATTCATAACTTTAATTCGGTAAAACTCCCTGTTTCCAGTGAAGGAGTAAAGGAGGTAGACTGGAGAAGAAAGGGCAGAGAAGTTAACAAGTCAACTTTAATGAGAGTAAGAAGCAGGAGGGAAATGTAACATTCAACATTCTTTAATTAATCATCAGTCTGCTGTGGATACACCCCACCCCCTTTCCTCCTACTAAAAATGCTATGTCCTCATCCCTTGGCCCTTAGATCTCACTGAAAAAAAGCAGAAGTAAGTACCTGTCTGTTACAACTAGAACAGGTTCCTGTACTGTGACGAATCTGCCGGTCAATGTCTCTTGCTCTTCTTTTCTCATTAAAGTTGAAATTATGCCGACAAACAGGACATGTGGATGATCCAGAAAGATTTTCAACTGAACTCAAGCAATCACTGCAAAAACTGAAATCACAGGAAAGGTAAAGTCCTCATAAAGGATCACTTTACAGCCCATGTCAAAATTACCATAACTGTAAGTAATCAAATCACAAGATATGTTGTTATCCTTTATATTCATGTGAGAGACATTAAGCCTCTGTTAGCACACTGGGCTTTAGGTCTAAAGTTTGTTTAGCAAGCTCTGCAGTATCCTTGGACAAGACAATTCCCTCCAAAGGGCTTTCCTAGCTGCAATATCACAAGGGCACCAAACTAAGTTTACCCCAGGCCCATAACCTTCAAAGGTATAAGCAGCTATGATAAGAGGGATTTCAGCACTTTTGGTCTGAAATATGATGTAAAAATCTGACGTTTTGGAGTCCTTGCCCAGGATTGGATATATTGTGGGAAAAAAGATTTATAGAAAATTACTTCTTTCTTAGAATTTCACTTTCCAGTGTTTTGAAAATAGTGGCCTCTGACAACCTTTCTCCTGCACCATTCTAGCGACAGTTGCTCTGTGATAGTGATGAAACATTTTTAAAATGGGAAGTCTGGAAAAGGATAATCCTCTCTCATCCTGTGAACAAGGAAATTTGACAAACAATTCCGGCTTACTTCACTTCCGGTTTGAATAAGTCTCGTATATTTGCTTGCATTCGTGCACTCGCAAAACTTAACGAACGAAATCGTCAGATCTAAGTCACAGACGTTTAAGAGGAATATATGCAAACTAGAGAAATGAAAAGATACTTCCGTTAAGAGCAAATTAAGGCCATTAAAAAGTACACTTCGTTTCTGATTAAATTTAACTTTACTTACGTGTGTCCGCAAGGAATAGAGATGGGATTTTCGAAAATTTCCAAACAGACAGGGCACTGTAAGTCCTCTTCCGTATCCAGTGGTTTTCCATGATATCCCCCTGTAGCCATTTCCTCCTCAGAGGCTGAAAATTAGGTTGTTTACAGTAATTTACTGCTGCAAACTCAACCAACAGTTTCCGCTTTTCAGAGCAGTATAAACAGACTCGATCGCTGAGATCAGCGGACACAATCAAAACAATTAGTACGTCACGTAATTCAAGGTTTACAAAATGGCGGATGCCATGCTTTCTTCCTTCGAACGAACTTTTATCGTGAATGGAGTAGAGCAAGATTTCCGATCCGATGGAAGGTCTTGTCACGATTATAGACATTTTGAGGTGGAAACTGGGATCGTGTCAAACACCAGCGGATCTGCACGACTTCGTTTGGTATGATATAAAACAGGAATAGGATACAGTTCTAATCGTAACTTCTTATCGAGTGTCAATCAACTTTGAGTAAATGCAAGACCACCTGAACTTTTTCCGTGGCTAAGCTCTAGACGATTCGATGACATTGGCTTTTTTTTTGTAGCCTATGTCAAACTTTTTTTAACATAACAGATAGGCATGTTTATTAATCTAAACGCGTCGCGGGGATCTGAGAGTTGTTTTAAATTTGGGAAGCTTTTCTTTTTTTTTTTAATGATAAGTTCTCGTTAATGTTTCAGGTCCTAAAATACATACAACTCACATCTTTCTTCTAGGCGGTAAAGCCAATTCATTTGCAAAACATCAACTCAATTCATAGTGTATACAGCTGTTTCGAGAGAGGTTATCGGGAAGAAAGCGTAAACGATAAAAATGAAAGTTCGACTGCACTGGTTATGAATAATTATCAATACAACAGCAAAGTAAATGATTTTTAGGATTTTAAATACTTATGCATGATTTGAGTAATTGACGAAATTTTTTTTCAGTTTTCATGGTTTCTTTTTCAATTCATAGTCTACAACAGACATCTTGGTCGGAGTAAAAGCAGAAATAGGAGAACCTCATCTGGAGAAACCAAACTATGGATATATTGAGTTCTTTGTTGACTGGTAAGTAATTTTATTCTTGTTTATTTTCTAGGGTTTTGCATTCTATTTTGAGTATTTTTCGTTTTGTAACTCCACTAAATTTTTTCAAAGATAATTTTACTCACAGACCTTTTTGTACAGATGCGTATTAATCTACAAAACATGTTACTCTACTTGCAATTTACATTGCTAGTATTTTTATCATATTGGGAGAAGAGAAATTGGATTTTAAAATGTTGCTTACATGTGCTAGAGTTTTATCACTTTTTTATTTTGTTTTGCTTTTTTATTTTTTTATTTTTTTAGCTCTGCAAATGCTTCTCCTGAATTTGAAGGTCGCGGAGGAGATGAACTGGGAGCAATGCTGGCAAAGAGTTTAGAGAAGGCTTATAACCACAAGTCTGCCATCGATCTAGAGTCATTATGCATCCTACCTGGAAAGCAGTGCTGGGTGTTATATATTGATGCTCTGGTACGATAAAGTTTTGTTGTTGATTTTCTGTAAAATGTCTGCACGAGGCTTCATGTATCTGCCATTCACGCCAGTTTGGTGTTTGCTCCTCTTCAAAAGTTCCTTTCTGAAATTATTGATTTTTTTACTGTAAGTTGATCAAGGCAGAGTTATTATTACTGAAAAAGCTATTTTCAAAGGTTAATGCATGAACATTGGCCATTTGTCTGAGCACTTTGTTGTGATTAAATCCTAACAATTAAAACATCACATTTTCAGAATTAATTTAGAGGAGATCCTGCTCTTTTAGTTGGTGATGAAGCCCAGTTCGGCCAGAACATTACTTGAACCTCACAACACCTCTCAGCCAAAGAAACTTGTGTACTTTAACTTGATCAACTTTTTTTTGTTGTCAGTAATACAGCAGGATGGGAGATAGCCCTCTATAAAGTCTAAAACTTGTTGAACAAGAAAGTGTTTATCTTGTAGGTGTTAGAATGTGGTGGGAATCTGTTTGATTGTGTGTCCTTGGCAGTAAAGGCAGCTCTTCATAACACCAGGTAAGATGTGATGTACAATTCTGTTAGAATGGCAAACTTCATCATTTGTTTTCATCATCATCATCATCATTATCATTTTTATTGTCATGTTACCTTGGTATTGTTGCAAAGGTGCTTCTCTAGTCCTACCTTGCCAATGTATCGTAGATAAATATGTCTTCCTTTGGTTTGATTATTAATAATTTTGTAATGAATAGTGAATATCTGAAATTTAACTCAATTTTTTCAGAATTCCAAATGTTTCAGTATCTATGGAAGAAGGAGGTGAAGAACTCGAAATATCAGATGATCCACATGACTGTAGAAGACTGGATGTCAATTCTATCCCAGTAACAGTCACTATGAGTAAGGTATAGAAACCTGCAACATTGGTGTGAAGAAATTTGAATTTATTTTCCAACCAGCAAGTGTGTTTGTCAACCTTGTAATCAACTGTCAGATCTCAAACACTGTGCATGAAGATACAGTTGGAACAATTTTTGAAACACACACACATTTTATTAATTTCCAATTAAATTTTACAGAAAAGAGGATGAGGTTCAAGTCATTTGCATAAGAAAATCATGTACTTGGGTCAGCTTACACAAATCTTTGCTTTAATAGAATGCTCATTTTTGGGATTAATGAATAAGGTCTAAGCCTGTCTTGTTCATTATCCATATAAGATGCCTTTGGGAAGGCTTTTTTGGGATTTAAATTTGATTTTAAAACATTTTAGATTGGTCATCGTCATGTTGTGGATGCCAGTCTTCAAGAGGAAGCTTGTAGTCTTGCTCAGTTACTAGTGTCAGTGAATGGTGACAACAATATCTGTGCAATGCAGAAAGTTGGCCAAGGTGCTCTGGATCCAGACTCTATTTTTGAGATGACTGAGGTAATGAAGGTTCTTCTCTTTTGTTGCAGCATTAGTTACACTATTTATTCATTCTTATACCTACACTCCTGCTAACCTACTTACTCTTCCCCTGACTAGGTGACATTGAACCACATAATGCAGAAAAGACATTTAAATCATATACATTAATGATTAGTAGTTAATGATTAATGCCAATTAATGCAGTTATCCAAGACAACTAAGTTATGAAATAAGAAACATTGCACTCATGTTTTGTTTGTGCACCCTATCTATCACATTTGTGATTGTATAACAACAGGTGCAATGTATTATGTCTGAGTTGTTTGTAGTTAACTTTTTCAGTTCTTCCATTGTATCAAATGTTCCTTAGAAATCCAGTAGAGATTTTAATTAGAGTTTGATCAGTAACTAACCAGCAAGAAGGGAATGATTAGCATTCTCAAGTTTATTGTCTTCAGTGATTATTCTCAATCCTGTCCTGATAACACCTTTTTAACCTATGATTGAGATAATAAATACATACTATGAAGAAAAGAGTGGTTTTATTTTAAAAATCACATTATGTTATCTGATAGCACTGTTTTTTCTTTTCAGACAGCAAGTTCTGTTGGAAAATCATTGAACAAAGCACTTCTGAAAGTCCTTGAAAAAGAGGAAGTTGAAACAAGTAAAAATAAAGACAAGGTTGGTTTTCTATTATAGATGAAGGGCCACCTTAAAAGTCAATTGTGTCAAGGAGAGCACTGGTTTCAATTAAGCAGGGAGACCCACCTATGGAGATTGAGATGTCACCTCACCTTTGGTGTGTGACATAGTTGTGCAAGACAATAGAAGTCAGAAAATATCCTGAATACAGTCTTGAGCTGGATAGTGAAATCTGTCCCTTCCAGTGATGATGATGAAGAACTGAAATGCAAGAAACCACTGCCTGAGGGATGGTCCGATAATGTTATCCTTTCCTTTCATGGTATCTTCACCAACTCTTATCAACACTGGTCTGTTTGCATATCAAGGAAGGGTATCAGCGAATATCTATCTCAAGAGACTTCACGCATATAATTATTATAATTGATTATCATAGTTGTTCTTTCAAATGTTACCCTTCAAAGCTGCAAAGTATGAGCTGACTTGTTAGGCATACCTTGAAGAAATGAGCCAACTTAGGGGCGTGGCCTACCATATGCACTGGTCTATATCTAGTGGCTTTGGAACTAATGTGCCACAGTGTCAGTGAGACCTCTCTTACAGACTAGGAAGGATCAAGAATGCATTTTTTAATTTATCAAGAATAAGAATATTTATTTTTTAAAAAGCCTTCTGTACAGTATCTTATTCTTTTTCTTGTCTTCTACATTAATAAACAGAGTTTTCCTTCGTTACTGAAGTGCTAACCAGAAAATTTCTTGAGCCAGAGCTCCCTCCACCTGCTTGAGGTAATTATTTGTTACCAGTGAGCTGTCAGGACAACCTGGCAAAATGCAGTGGATTTTGTTCAGTTGATATCCCATTTGAAGGGGAAGGGGGTGGGTGGTTCAAAATGTACTCTCTGTCACCTGGTATTTATGGGGTTAGTAATAAGCTCGGGTACTTATTGGACGCAATTCAACAACCTTGACTTTATGTTCAGAAAGGAAAAATCTATTGCAAATAAAAATGTGGAAAGATAGCTTATCTAGAGAATGGTAGATGATAGAAATGACATTACTTTTTTTGCTCCTTGTCAGGAGCCCGTTACTTAATAATGGGCTCCTGTCCTCGTTTGATTTTGTCACAACAAGTAAAATTTACAAATTTATACACTCCTCACTTGTCCCCCGGAGAAATTAGACATTATTATTAGTGAAGCAAGGGTCGTTTTCAAGAGAGGTTTGGAAGTATTTTACAAGGCAATAATTCACAGAACAATTAAGTATCCCCGACCACCCCACCCACCCACATACGTACACCACTACACCGATAATCCTTTCCGCTGATGTTAAAAAAACAAAACAAAAAGAAGACTGGATACTATCTGGGTAAAAACTATCTGGGTATAAAAGTACTGGGTACTAAAAAGCAAGATGGCGATTTGGGGGCAGATGAAGCTGTGAGGGTATAGTAGATAGTGATAGTACCATCATGACGATAGCTATTGGGTTCGAAGGGAGTGCAAATAAGCTAGGCATTGGTATTGTAAGAGATGGCGTTGTTCTTTCGAATGTACGAACAACTTACATCACTCCACCTGGACAAGGTAGGTCTGCATGAACCGAGCACGCGGTAAAGTTTTACTTTTATCGTTTGTTCTTCCTTTATCCGACCTCAGCTACTCTATATCTCAATTTAGGGTTCTTACCAAGAGACACGGCGAAGCATCACCGAGAAAATATCATTGATATATTAAGAAGGTACAGAGAATTGGTCACTGAAACATGCAGTTTGTAGTTAAGAGTTCAGTAGGTCCTGCTCTATAGCTAAGGTTGTGTTTTACATTTAGATCTTTAAAAGAGGCCAACATCAAACCTCAGGACATAGATTGTGTCTGTTACACTAAAGGTGAGCTGTTATAAATATGTTGCCCTAAATATTCTTAAAGAAGATCATCATACGGAGTCGAAGTAGAAGTCTTGACCAGAGTTAACGAAGGTCTTCTTTAGTAAATATGAAAACGTAGTAAGAATTCTAACTCAAATGCTCTAACTCTAAGCTGATTGGCTTAGTCAGCGGAGTGAGTAGCCTAAAAGTGTGAGGTTGTAAACAGAAACAAAAGTTGGACAAATATTGGATTTAGACAAAATCAATTATCATTTTATATTGATTTTTATACTTCACTCTCTTCAACTATCATGTAATAGAAATTTCTAGCTCATAATATAGTTTTAATTAGATTAAATTTTATTGACTGTTTGACCCCTAAGATTGACCAGCTTCTTATTTCAATATCACTCTTGAATCACTCAGTAATGTCACAAGAATAAAGGAAAAGATCACCGACTCAAGAAGCTTTTGATTGTAAAGCAAATTTTCCTTGTCTGCACGTTTGAAAGTGTGAGAAGAACAATATGGAGAATATACATACTGATGGTAGGTTGGAAAGGGTTAATGTTAATCATTTGGTGTTCATTTTAGGTCCAGGCATGGGTGCACCTTTGGTGTCTGTAGCAGTTGTTGCAAGAACAGTTGCACAACTTTGGAAAAAGCCTATGGTGGCTGTTAACCATTGCATAGGGCACATTGAGATGGGACGGCTGGTAACAGGTGCTGTCAATCCTACTGTTCTTTACGTCAGTGGTGGAAACACTCAAGTGATTGCATACTTGGAGCGACGATATCGTATTTTTGGAGAAACCATTGATATTGCTGTTGGGAACTGTTTGGATAGATTTGCAAGAGTCCTTAAGGTAAAAATTTTGTCATTGTATGGCTGGTTTCAAGTGTAGGAAAGATGTAGTGAATTCTGTATCCTAATTGACTATCCAAGCTCATCTTGCCACAGTTATCCCAAGCTCACTTTCTCGAGAGAAAGCAAACAATTTTTCTTGAATTTTAAAATTCATGAAAGGGTCACACATTGAGTGACATGGTGTTAAGTTAAATGAGGAACCATTGAGAATTTGAACACATAATAAGGAATAGTATAGGGAACAAAATATCGTCAATTTACAACAGTAAATATTTCAAAATATCATTTTACCCAAAATTAATGAAACATACTCACATCTTGTGTATCCATTGTGGTTTCTGGTATTCTCTGCCATTTTAAGCTTGCTATGCCATCACTATTCCTGTTAAAAGACAAAGTCAAGGCTGCACACTACAATTTGGACCATTTTTCACATGGAGGTGGTTTGCATCCAGAAAATCCTCCCGATCAGCATTTTTGTCAGCCAAAGTTTACGATATAAGATTATTACACCCTGGGACATGTCTCAATAACAAAACTCCCCCTGTATCATGCTGAAAACAATTGTTTCCTACCAGCATTTCCAAGTTTGCTTCTCTCTGGCCATGCCCTTCATGGCCAGATGGGATGCTTCACAAATTAATCATTTGCTTTTTCTCAAGTTGTGACCTTGGGACACCTGTGACCTTGCCTGTACAGCATATTCTGCTTTGATTCCACAGGAATAAAAAATTGTGTGGCTAGTTTATGTATTTCATAACTCTCCAGGAACTTTACAGTACAGTTAGAAGGAAAATCACTTTTTGGTCAGTTTTAATTTAACAGCAGTGGAATAAAAAATTAAGTCTTTAAGAGCATCACATCATATCAAAATTAAATGCCATACTATAAATCAGTTATTATCCAAGCTTGATCATGGCCATAATTAAAAATTAAATAGTCCAAAACCAGTTTGTGTCATCATTGAGTTAGAAAAATTATTCATCTTACATTTCAGCTTTCAAATGATCCAAGCCCAGGATACAACATAGAACAAATGGCAAAGAGGTGAACCTTGATTTATAGAAACTTGAAGTACAGAAGCAGAAGATGTATGTGTTGAAGTTCACAGTGAATGTCAGTTCAATATGAGTGTTTTTTAAAACTTGTTTAAGTTGTTTTCACCTTTTTTTTAGTTCCTTGATAGTAATGTTAAGCTCAATTTTTTTATTCAGGGGAAAAAAGCTCATTGAATTACCTTACACAGTGAAGGGAATGGATGTATCATTTTCAGGAATTTTATCATACATTGAAGTATGTCTGTTTTTATGAATGTTGCGTTTAATTTCAAGTCTGTTTCTCACTAACTGCTATTCATCAATTTTCTTAACTTGTTGAGGGATATTGATCTTATTAGAGATACTGTCTGAATGCTAACTTAACTGTAACTGTCAGTGATACTTTTTTGTGTTTTGTGTTAGAGTATGGCACCCAAATTACTTGAATCAGGAGAATGTACACCAGAGGATTTGTGCTTCTCTCTTCAGGTAAGGGAGATAAACTGAATAATAAACCTAGCAACACAAGTAACAGCACTAAGTTAAACAACAAACTTGTGGGATTAGAAGTTGTTTTAACTCAACGAAATGCTTAGAACAGGATATTCAGCCTGCATCAGTTCTTTCAATACATGACAAGAGTGTCACAGTGTATTTTACATTTTTAACCCTTTACACCCTAACATCAGTTTACCTCTTCTCCATATTGTTCTCTCTACATTTTCTAAGATGCAGAAATTTAAGGAGAATTTGTGCATCAATCAAGAGCTATAGTTGGTGATCATTTCCTTTATTCTTGCAACCTTAATTCTCAAGTCAGGGGTGATGTTGTAAGGAGAAACTAGATGCTAGTCAATTCTTGGCCTTTTCAAGAAAACACTGGAAAGTTGATGATGATTTATCAAAAACACATTCGTGTAACAGAGAGAGTTATATGAGAGTAATCTTAGTGTTAACTCATTTTTTCCTCAGGAAACAGTTTTTGCCATGCTCATTGAAACAACAGGTGAATTTATACTTTACAATTGATTGTTAATTAATAGTATTTATGTTTTGGCATAAAAAGAATAAGTTGAGATTCAGAGAAGACGCAAATTCATTGATTCCTCCTCAGTCTATGTCCAAGTGATTTTAAATCATTCACTCCACCTGTTACTTAATAGACAATTGCCTTTCAGTTCAATGTATGGGAAACCATAAAGTATTAGTTTCATTTGATTTGGTAATTTATAGTAGAGAGAGACAGAAATGTAACAAAGATTGTAGGAAACGGAGATCTTAAACAACTGACTATCAAAAGTTAGGCCTAAGAAGAAGGAACCATGAAGAAGCTATGTTATTAAGACTTGGCAATTTGTTATTAGTTTAGTAATGAACATGGCATTTCTCTCAGAATTTAAGTCAGTAAAGCATAGTTTGCCTGTTTTATAACTTTTAATTTTTCAGAAAGAGCAATGGCTCACTGTGGGTCCAGTGAGGTTCTTATTGTTGGTGGAGTGGGATGTAAGTGATATTTGTGTCTTGCAATTTATTGGTTGCTATGAGAACATCTGATCTGAAAGTATTTTCTCCATTTTCTTTGAATCTGAGTTTTCCTTTATATAGGTTATATATATATATATATATATATATATTGTATCAAGTAAATACTTACCCAAATGTACAATCTGCCTTAATCCACTGATCTTGGGTATTCATTCTTTTGTTTAGAAAATGAACATAGACACAAATCTGACTCTAAGTGATAGCTCACATCATTTTAACAATGTTTTCATCAGACATGATATGATAAGTTGAATTATACAGACATTTTGATTTGTGTTTACCTACATGAATGATCTGTTGGAGGACAGACATGCAGATAGATGTCACCATCAACAACATTTTGTTTTTTTATGATATGAAACAAATAGATTCTTTGTTGCCATAGGTGTGCCACTTTTCTTGGTTCTTTCCACATTTTGACATCATCTGTGATTTATTACCAAACAGATTTACCATAAAATGAAATGTTTTTGTTGTTAAATATACACCTAGGGCATGTGGTACTGGAACAGATATAGTTTAATTATGATAATTTTTAAGTGGCGCTTATACTTTTCTTCTGTTCATGCAGGCAACAAGAGATTACAAGAAATGATGGGTAAGTTCAGATGGTCACAAGCACTGGCAATTTATCTGTTTTACAGTTTATTTAATTGGGTGAAACTAGGTACAATCTGTTCAGGACAAGCCAGAATATTCCCATGATGGAGTTAGTATGGTATACCCTAAAAGAAAGTTGTAAGAGTGACCAGCATCTAATTTCTCCTTACAGTAATACCACTGAATTATTCATTAAGATAATGAGAATAAAGGAAATGATCACCAACCTTAGAAGCTTTGGTTGTAAGTGAATTCTCCATGTTAGTACCAAAGGAAATTTATAGAATGTAGATACTGATGTTAGGGCATAAAGGTTACACTGTACGACTTCCCTTTTGTGTACTAGATCATTGGTCTTAGTTCAAATTCTTATCATTTAATAGTTGTTTCATCAGAATGATGACAATGATTTATTGATTTATGTCAGGTGTGATGGCTAAAGAAAGGGGAGCTAAACTTTATGCTACTGATGAAAGGTAATATTTTGTATTACTTGAGGAATCATTTACTAAATACATGTATTTCATAACTGAGCCAATGGACAATTGAAAGTTCTTAACCCTTCAACTCCCAAAAGGGATTAGCTTGAAATTTCTCCCAGTAATATCCAGACATTATCCTGCTAACAGGTAACAAGAATACTCAAACTTATTGGTTAGAAGTTGTTATCTTGATCTAACACAAAATTGCTGTCACTAATTTAAAAGAAAATGTGTAGCAGTTCTAATCTGAAGTATTCTGTTTGTGACAAGTTGGGAAAAGGGGTGCTGATTTTAGGTCTGTGGAAAAAGGCTTTATTTTAAATAGCACAGAGTATAAACTAGCCAAGTTTGAAATAGCTAAGCTAGACTTTCTTTCCTTTTTCAGGTTCTGTATAGACAATGGGGTAATGATAGCACAAGCTGGCTGGGAGATGTTCCGTTCTGGGTGTGTCACTCCCTTAGAGGAAACCACATGTACACAGAGGTAAGTGCTAAAAGGGCAGGTCCACATAGTTTTGTTTGATTAGTCTTAAAAAGACATTAGTTTATTCAAACCTACAAGTAAAGCTCATGATTAAGTAAAGAAGAGGAGAGTTCTGCAAAAATTGATTTCTAGTTGATATCATTATCTCTGATTGCTCAATGAAAAATGGTATTCAACTTGGGTTCATTTTCTGTTGAACTCCCATATTTGTGATTACAAGATTTGACGTCCCACCCCCATTTCTTTCTTCCTTTAAAGGTCATGTTTTAAATGAAACACTTACTGTTTCCCAAAGATCTTTGAAACTCAATGTTTGACTAAGTTCAATATTCTCAGTTGGATTTTTTGCAAATGACTTGACTCAACAGGTACAGAACAGACGAAGTTGAAGTGACATGGAGAGATGACAGCTAATTCACAGTAACACATGTTGGCATAACGCAGTCTTATACACATGTATCTCTGCACTGTATGAAGTAATAGGCATGAAGAAGGAAATTAAATTCCTCCATAACACTCAACTCAACCAATTTGCCATCTTTCCTAGAGTGTTTACACATACGTGCCAACATTGCTGATCTCAGCAGCATGTGAGAGGCAAGTTGCATCATTATTTCCAGGGTGTGATCAGTGGAGATAGTGCATCAAACCTTTCTTTTCTGCCATCTTCCTTTAAGGAAAGATTTGACTGAAAAGATTTGTAAATTATCTGAAAAACTCACGATAAGGTACAGTTCACTGCTTAGTGTGTAAGAGAGGGCAGAGATTGTAATTTGCCAGTGGCAACATTTTTGAAAGATTCCAATGTAGCCCTTAAACTCTCAAGATCTGTTTGTTAATTCTCCCTAACCCCCCCCCCCTCCTTGACTGCTGTTCATTTCCTTGTAAAATAGTTTCAAGAATTTGGTGTTAGATCAAGATAAAAAAATTTTACTTGATAAGTTTTGAGTATTCTCATTACCCGTTTGCTTGAAAACGTTTTGATGTTATAGGGAGAAGCTACATGTTAATCCCTTATGGGAGTTTTAGGGTTAAAACATATGGCAAACAATTAGACTCTTAGAATGTTTTTTAAAATGTCAATAAAGAATTTTCTGATGTGATAAGTAAATGTTTAGTTGAAATGTTTATGAGATAGAAGAGGGTGGGGTCATTGATTTTGAGGGGGGGTTGAAAATTGCATTGATTTAGAAGTAAACTGTCAAACAACAGATTTACAAGGTTAAAAAACGGCAGAAAGGAAGGATTAGGCATAAAGATCAAAGAATGGTCGTGGGCTGGGAGAGACTAACATTGACTGCTCATAATGATTCTGTAAAAAGGAGCAAAACTTGTCAAGTTGTTTTAACCATGACAAGGCTCCATCAAGCTCCCAGGCTGGCAGCCTTCTGAAACAGTCACCATTCCAATGTCAAAAAATCTCTAATTTTATTCTCTACAACATGAATAACATGAAAATACAAATGAATTTTTTTCTCTCTATCTTTTGCTCATTTCACAGAGCCACCTCTGTTACCATGGTCCCAACTTAAACAAAAGTAACCAATGATACTACATGAAACACTGATCCAACTAACCTACTGCTTAGAAACAAAGCAAGAAGAAATGACAGAATTTTGACAAAATTCAAGGCTTGTTTCTTATAATCAGATTGATCTATTTTTCCAAAGTGACCCCAGCAACAGTTATCACAATTTATAATCCATCAAATATTTGTGCACATCACGTAACCCCATATGCCTCAGCTAAAACTGGGGAATATCCAAAGAAAAACCTTGAGTGATATTCCCCAATTTCCAAACCTTATGTCCCATAAGTCTTCATTCAAAATTTAATTCAAGATGAGAGCCTTATGTGGTTGTTAGAAGAAGTGACATTTTTGTTCACTAAGTCATACAGTAACTAGAGAATGCTGAAAAGTGAACATCTGATGCTGTAAACAGTATTAAAGCTGCTTGTAATTATTTTTCCCCACACCTTGCAAAAATATTTGAAGGATAATGAATACAATAGCCTCCATTTGGTTTAAAAATATCCTTGTATATTTGTCCTTAGAAATTTAGATCTGTTCCTCAAAGCTCACTTTTCCTCAAACTTTGCTCTCGAAAAAATGTTTGCATCTTGGAACAAATGGTATCTGCAGAAAGATATATGTGCATTTTTCAAGCCAAATGGAGGCTCTTCTTCACGTGACAACATGGGGAAGTCAGTACACCTCTTTCCTCCCTTTTACTTGTGCTAAAATATCAAAACCTAAGTCTGTAGTTACCTAATTTTTCTCAAGACACTATTCCAAACCAATTGACTTTAAAACATGCTATGAAAATATGATGTCTCAAATGGCACAAAAAGATAAAGGAGAGGAAACTGCATCTAATGTTAACCCTTTAGCTCCCATGAATGACCAATGAATAATTTCTCCTTACAACATCAATACAAAATTAAGCAAACAAGTGATGAGAACATAGAAAAATATCAATAAGGGGACTATGAGTTGATCCATGACCAAATTCTCAATCCTAAAATGATAGGGAATGTATAGCAGAGAGTTAGGAGAATTACAAATGAGATATTAGGAGTGACAGGGTTAAACATTTTTGTTTGTTTCCTATAGGTAACTGTTACAGTATAAAAAGTATTAAATATATTTTGTCCTTTTCAGTCAAATTTGGTGTTCCTCAACAAAAGTTTACAAATGTCTACATCAAAGGGAAAGGACAAATAAGGAAACTTCTACAGCTGAGTGAACCTTTTCCACCCCTGATTTTCTTATATTAATAAGACAATATGTGCTCTGACTCATAAATTAATTATTTCACTATTAACAATAAAATACTTAAGAACATAGAAATTAATCCAATATGGATAACAAACCGAAAGACAAACCAACCCAAGAGGCTGGAAGTTTTGTAAAAAAATTAAAATGTGCGAGTGAAGTACACCTATCTGGCAAGTTAAAAGTCTGCATGAGTTGCAAGATGCACTTGTTTATTGTATTTAAATTTTTCATCCAAATCATTTTGCCTTTTTTATGTTCATGATGAAATCCTGTCCTCAGATGTACAATCATGACATTCTACTAATCTTGATTACCTAATTGCAATTACCTAAAAAAAATTGACATCTCCAAAATGGAAAGATTTATGAAAGAGAAATAAACTAGCAAAAATAGTATTTTACATAGTATTTTCCATGATTCTCCTTGAATAATGTATTCATAGCTACTCAGTGCTAATTTGTAGTTCTTCTTTTCTTGATGGTTTGCCTGGAGATGTCTAAACCGAGTAGCAATATCTCAACACATACTTTTTCTAGAGTAGCTTAGCAGGATTGCAGCTGCAGCAATCAAGTCCATTGCAAAAGTCAGTGTGTGCAACCATAATATTAAATGTGTTTGATGTTTTCATTGACATAATTAATGCATGCATATTTTTTTGTTGTACTTACAAAAGATTGTGTGCGCAGATTGATTGTGGATGCAACAAGGAGTTTCTGCTCGACAATTGTGGTGTATACTAAGTAACTATACAGAACCTGCACTTTTCCCAGTCTTTTTTAAAAGTAGTCCATTTTTCCTGAAAACCAAAAGGCCTTTTCTACCTGGCAATTGCTGAAAATTTATCTCACATCTTAGTGCTCCAAGCTGTGAGGCCTATCTCAATAATGACTGCCTCAAATACTGCAATGACGCCTACTTTCAATTGGCAGCCAAGACATTGTCACAAGAACACAATCAAGTAATTGTGGTGTTGTAGTGCTTCATTGCCATCTTGGAGTGTTAAATGATAACACAACAGGACTTTTTATGATCTTCCACTTCTATAGCACCTGCAGGTTGTTTAAATTTACGCCTGGGTTCTTCTACAATGTAATTAGTTACATTGTTTGTGTCGGACATTTTCCTTGTAGGAGCTGTTTCAGGTAAGACATTAAGTGTTGCTGGAGTATTGTTCTGCTGTTGTGGTTGGGGTGTCTCTGGTTTGGGTGTGTAACTGGCATTCTCAGCATCAGAAGATAGTTTGACATCTGATGGTGAAATAACTTTGGACTCCTTGATATCCTTTGCTGAACAAAATAACGGACACAAAACCATCTTAATTAGTACATTTTTTAGATCTGCATGTGTCTCAATTAACAGTTGAAATTAATGAAATGTTTGACATCTTGTGAAAAATTCTCTACGACTTGGAACAATTTGATTAACCATCAAACTCGGAAAAACTGAACAGACTGCACATAATTCTGGAATGCTATTAACTCTTTTACTCCCATGAGTGACCAAGACAGAATTTCTCCTTACAATATCAATACAATATCAAGCAGACAAGTGATGAGAATAGAGAAAAATATTAATTAAGGGATCATTAGTTGATTCAAAACCAAATTTTCCAAACTAGCATTACAGGAACTATATGGCAAACAGTAAGGACAATTGCTAATGAGATCTTGGGAGTTACAGGGTTAAGTTTAGAAGAGAAACCATATCAGACATGAGATCACTAAATTGTAAACAGGAATGGTAATTACCATATTTATTTGGCTGTAAGCCAAGCGATTTTTATACAAATAAGCATTAACTTTCAGAAAGCAAGGAACCTGTATGAACCTACCTAACTGTTGCAAAGCAGTATCTGAAATCTCTCGAGAATCTCTTGACTTCCTTTTGGAAAATGACTCTGGGTAACCTGATGTGTCGGATAATGGCACTTGGTTCCTACTGCCTGTACTTCCCGAAGATCTTGGCACTGGAGGCGCAGCTCGTGTCTTTGTAGACTTAGGCACTGATGTGACAGACTGTGCTGTTGAATTGGAGTTGGAACAAAGCTCTGAAGAAGACATATTTACAGGAGTCCTGTCTGCCTTAGACGCCACAACTCCTTGACTAGCATGATTACTATTAACCACCTTTATATCTTTCGTAGCTTGTTGTATTCTTGGATCTGCAGGAAGTTGACGACGACCCGAAGGTATCTGTAATGGAACCTCTATTTTCTCTGAGGACCTAGAGTTTGTTTTACCCTGCAATACATGCTCTTTTGTATCATTTTGGCTCTTATATTGAATGTTTGTTGTATCAGTGCCTTGTCTAGGCACAATGACCTCTCTCTCTTTTGGAAGAGGTTCTCTAGATCTTTCCTTGTTGAATTGTTCATTGTTATTTGCTGTGCTAACAAGAGATTTGTTCTTCTTTTCATTATTTCCTTGTTCTAAAACTTTCCCATTGACAGTATTTGTCACAATTGTCTCCTTGACTTCTGAAGTTCTTTGGTATCTCATTGCTGTAGAATTTTCAGAGACCTCTTTCTCATTAGTAACAGCACTTTTCTCCTCAATCTGTGGTCTTGCAGGTGGAGGAGATTCTTCTTTAGGCAAAGTAGGATCTTCTACACTTAGATCCAATTGATTTGGTCCATCATCTGTCTTCTTGTCCTTCTGATAAAAAAGAACCAAATTTTTGCCATGAACTATAACACCACACACACTACCATCAAACAGCATGTTCTTCTTACTGTTCTCAATACATTTCCTATGGGACTGGCAAGGAGATTTTGTTTATTAATCAAGTTCTTCTCAAGTTGACATTCCCTTTACTTGCACTACTTAAATTTTTCATTTAACCATAATACTGTAATAACAATTAATATACTAGTCACTCTCAGATATTAAAGGGTTCATAGGTTTGTGACTTTCATTCTGTCTAAAAGGGGTAAGTTTCTTCTTAAGAAACTGTTGTGCTGCAATGGAGGAGGGTGTTTAAAACACAATTTGGTTTTATCATCTGAGTTGACACAACCAATTATTTCAATCTGTAAGGCTGTCTGTGTTTCTAATAGTTCACAGTGGCACAATCAGCCTAAACCATCATCACCTTGACTCTGCTCTAATTTTGTTCTCATTTTTCTTTTAATAAACTAAGCTGCATTACCGCGATGAGGAAAGCCAGTTCAGGGTGTTGTCTAAGAATTGCCTCTGCCTTAGCTTCACTCTGGGAAATGGAAATTTTTTCTTTAAGACTGGAACGTTTAACAGACAACCTACAAAACAAGAGAAAGTGTTAACAATGTTAATTTTAACAGAAAATGATCATGTGAAAATATATTGAACCCCTAACTCCCAGAGGTGATAACCATGCAACTTCTCCATACAATATCCATATATTATCCAGCAAACAGGTAATGAGAATACTCAAACTTATCAGGTAGAATATTTACCTTGATCTAATACAAAGTTATTGTCACTAAGGTACAAGGAAAATATGTAGCAGCCAGATGAGGAGAGTTTACAATCAGTTTACAATCAGTTTACATTTAAAGAGAGTGTTTTAATGCATTTCTTACCACCTAAAAACTCATTTGAAATACACAATTATTTCATAATTACTTGTGATCAAAATACTGTGCTCACAACATCCTTTCAGCTTCTTGCTGCCTGTTTTAAAATGTGAAGAAACACCCTTCCCTGTACTACCACTTACGATCTTGAGTTGTTCCTTTTTCTCCTGTTATTCTTCACTTTAAACTTGTTCATCTTCATTTTTCCCTTGAGATCAATGATGAACTGCCGCACGTCAGCATCATCACATAAATCTATGGAGAGCAGATTGCAAATTAGACCATGAACACAAATAAAGAATGAAAAATAGCAAAATTACAACCAGTATGTTGCTAACCTAACGGAGCTTCACCATAAGGTGTTCTGCTTTCAAGATCAGATCCATGCTCTACAAGTAGTTCAATTGCTTTTTCCTATAGAAGTAATATAAACATAGGAATTCAATATCAGCTGTTGTGCATTAACAACTACAGGGTTGTAGCTCACAAATTAGGCTGCCAACTGAAGTTTCAAGTGAGAAAACTCAAAGATAGCATTCCATATAGAATGATTGTAAGTGTGTAATCTCCAAAGTACCTGTTGTAATTTACCAGGTGCTAACCAGCCAAAAAACCAGCCTGCAATCACCACTTTTTCATTCAGAAAATTTGCCACTAACCATCATTTAGTAACAACCCTGTAAATGGTCATCAATCTGCCCACAAATTTTCATTGTGTTCTTATCAAGACACAATGTATGAAGCACCTTGGAAATTTTGGGGAGAATTCACTAGAAGAAAGAATTGGTCTCAGTCACACTTTTATGCATCTTTGGTGCTCTCCAACTTCTCATGTGCTTCAAATCTCGATGAGCCTGGGCTCAAACATGAGTTAGTTGCTAACTGATGAGAAAAAAAAAGCTTTCAATTAATGTGTCTAACAAGAAGAAATCAAAATATTTACATTTCCCCAGCAGGCTGCAGCATGAATAGGTTTCCACCCATCCTTGTCCACAACATCTACATCTGCATCATTCTCAAGTAAGAATTCTAACACTTCCTCATAGGCATTAGCTGCTGCAATATGTAACTGAAAGAACACTGAATTATTATAACATAGATTACAAAATGATCACTATGAGTAAGAATGGTCATGTCAAAGTAAATGATTTGAGCTAAACAGATTCACAGTCAATTGCTCTGTTAAATTGTCCAGCTGGGGCTAATTCTGAAAAGGGCTGTTCTCTTAAACTCTCAGAAGTGATTAACCTTTTACTTCTCCCAATAACATCCATACATTATCCAGCAAACAGGTAATGAGAATACTCAAGCTAGTTAAGTGGATGTTGTTCTCTTGATCAAACACTAAATTCTTGTAACTAATTTAAAAAGGAAAAAATTTTTTTAACAGAGTAAGACATTACCTACTTGTGTAACTAAAGTTTAATCTAAACAGGAAACACAGGTTATTTCAGCGAGAATTCAATGTTAAAAACTTACCGCTGTTGCACCTTGCATATCCTTGATTTCCAAGTCTCTTTTCTTTTCAACTGCATCTTTAATATCTTCAAGCATCCGTGTCTCTCTTAAAATAGCAAGTTCATTGATCTTATCTTCATTGAAACCTGAAATCATGATAAAGTGAGCCACGCTATTGAACTTGTGGTAAAGTCCTATAAATATTAACTCTAAATTTGTTAAATTTTCGGGAATACCTCCATGGCAATAGAAGTTTAGCGGACTTTGTCACAATTACAGGTTTTCTTTCTATAAACAAACCTGTTTTTTATTTTCTTACATATTTTCTAAGAAAAAAAACACACCCTCAAAAGTGACATGCATGGCTGCACTCATGTGCGGTGTCAATCAAAACTTAACTATGTTCAGGCCCAGTCTTTGAAAAGTTCAGGATTGTTATCAGTAGGCAGTGGGAGATTGCCAGCTGTCAGAACATTTTTGCCATCTACTTTATGCACAAAAATTTTCTTATTTTAAGGTTTGTCATCTAAAGAAATCTTTTTTTGGAATCTATGAGTAGTTTGTCAATCAAATATCATATGACTAAAAGGGCAGTTCATGTTTTTGTTTAGTTATTTACAAAAAGTGGCTCACCATATTTGTTCATCTCTTCATGTAAGAAATTCTTCAGGTCATCATCTTCTTCAACCAAATCAACTGGCAAGTTTCCATCAGCATTGATAGCAACAACATCAGCACCATTTTCCACTAAATACTGGACCATTGAATAGTTTTCACATGCAGCTGAAGCATGCAAAGGTGTCCACAATTCACGGTCCTCTGCATCAATATTGGCACCATAACCCACAAGAAGTTCTGCTATCTCATCACATTCATCAATACACGCCTTGCAAAATTACAAAAAAAAAAATCAATCACAATACAGACAGTGATTAATTTCACTGAGACTTCCAACTACTTTTTGTTTTTTAAATCAAACTACTTAGAAAAGTCCCATTTTTTTTAACCTATATTGAATAAATGGGCCATCAATCAAGTACTTGTAAATCAAAACAAGAAACATCAATTGAATTTTGTTAAAATCGTTTCTATTTTCCAAAGAGCTGGAGGGTTGAGTAAGTATTTTGACAAAACAAACATAAACTGTCACTTTCTGATCTCTGGTTTGACCTCAATTTTAGACCTTCCTTTGATTCTTGAGTACTACACCCAACTTAAGAACACAAAACAATACAAAAAACCTAAAGGTGCACATATTTCATTTACTTCGTGCTTTTGATGGGTTATTATCACATCTGTCTAAGTACAAACGTAAAATTGTTGAGATATCACCAAGCCGTTTGAACCAATTATAATTAAGGCGAATTTCTTTCAGCAATGCAAGAAAAATTTGAAATAAAAAAAGCCAATTCAAGAAACCCTGAATTAAAGGTCATATTTCGTAGGGTTTCTTATTGCAAAAAAATATCAAGAGTTCTAATCTAGTCGACACTGAAAGAAGAACTTTGTAAAATTACATTTTCTTATGTAAACATCTCCAGACCGGCCTACTAAGCAAACAAATTAACCGATGAAATTCCAGCTGCGAATGAACACATGAACTAGCTTCATGATTAGAAATCTATGCGAAACGTTTTATGTAACGGAAAAAAGCACCACTAAGCAAAAATGATTTGATATTTCCAACAAAATAGTGGTTTGACTCTAGAATTCAATAATATTGTAAGCTGAGAGAAAAAAATTAACGAAAAAGCCATGACTCAGTAATTTGTCGCGGTTACTTTTTACGTCAATCAGCCAAATATCCAAATTTAATCTGAATAATACTTTTAAAAGTCGTCGCAATGTAATTAGAAATTAAAATTACGTTAATCCCACGAGCCACCGACCGGAAACCCCGACTAAGAATGATTTTATCATGTTTTAAGAGGAATAAAATTGCTTTTTGCTTCGCTTAGGTGAATCAATTTCATGCCATCTCGCTCGTGCGTCATATTTACCAAAAACGTCCAGGTAAATTCATTAATTCACTTGTACATTTCAAGAAAAAAAAAGTGTACTCTAGATTTCAAGTCAAGATAATATACAAAAGACAACAGAAAAACTCTAAGTTATCAATATCGACAGGGAAAATTAATTTCAACTGAATGTTATGTTCCAACATGATTTAGCTCAATTGTAAAACAAACACCAATTTTCTGATAGTGAACAAAAATAAACACAGACCCAGTTTGGAGATTAGTTGTCAAATGTTGCACCCAATCAAGTTCCAAAGCTTCTAAACAAGATTTTCTCGGTATTAGAGCTGCATATTTATAACGATAGATCGTGCATGGAACCTTATAAACACTTACTTGATGTAAAGCAGTAAGTCCGTCGTCATTTGCCAAGTTTGGGTCAACTCCATAATCAAGCATCTTTTTCACTGGATGAGAAACATCAATAATCTAAAAATCCCAATATATATGGAGAGTCTGAAGACATAACTACCATCGACAAACAAAACTTCACGGTGCAAAAGCTAGACTGTACCAACCTTCATCGCAATCACCTCGTGAAGCGGCTTCCAACAGAATAATTCTAGGTTCGAATTTCACTGGTTTTGCTCGTTGAGGTCTCTTTTTAGGCGGTGGCGGACCAAATTCTTCATCTTTCTCTCTTTCCCATCGTCTCAGTTGTTGGGATCGTCGCTTCTTTGCGAGCTCTAGGCGATCTTGCACGGAAAGTTTCTCGACCTTCGGAATTTCACCCACAAGTTCTAAATGATCCGCCATTACAACGCGCGTGTGACAACACCGAAATTAAATCCTCGCGGAAAATCATAGCGTTTTATTACAGTAACATTTTAGCCATTGATCTCCTCCGTGTTTGCTAAATCCGTCCGAGAATTTCTGCGACCTTTCAAAAGAAGTGTGTTGTCTGGAAAGTTTATGCAAATCTTGTATTTAGTTTAGAGGCGAGCCACCATAATGTATTCCGCTTCCCATATAAGGAGAGAGGATGACGGCAATTCGCAATTACGTCTCACAGCTACTTCCGGTTTTTTTGTTGCTTCCTTTTGGGTTCCTAACAATCTCCGGTTCAATATTCGAGATATTTCTGTGCATGTCAGATTTTATGATGTTTAACCCTCACAATTAGTAGTAAAGCTTACCTTCTTTCTTATTTAGGTCTTTCTTGAACGAAAAGGGTTAAAGGAAACAAAAAAAATTGAAATTACACAAATGATTTCAGAGGTAATGCCTATACGAAGTAAAATCTATCTTTGAATCTCAGAGTTTTTACTTTCACTTAACTCTTAAAGTTTTTATTCCATATTTTAGAAACCCATTTAGAGGATAATTTTGGTGTTTATCGACGAAACGCTCTATAATTGATATTTCTGGAAAAAAAAAACTCTTCAAAAAGAATGTCCGTAAATCTCACTGGAGTCTGCCTATAACATTTCTCATATCCTAGGAAAGCGACACTGTCTGCTAATCACAGATAAGGTTCTCAAAAAAAATATGACACAAAACGGTGACTTCCTTCCTAAGGTTTTAACCGGAAGCTGTTAAACCCGCGAGCAACTTGCGTTACAACAATTGTGTGACTGAAAAAAACCAAACCATATTTTCAAAGATCAGTTGGCTGAGAGAAGAAATAACATCCTGCTATTACAGACTTTTTTAACGACGAAGACGATAGGTATGGCAATGATATATGTCACTGGGGCAGAACTCGATTCAATCAAAGAACGCTTGGTTGGAAGTAAAAAGAAACAATACGCGTTTGTTTTTTACGTGGATTGGTCTGACGGCTCGAGTTGTGACATCTGGCGGAGCTACAATGATTTCTTTGAGTTTCAATGCAGGTTATTGGACTCTTTTCCTGAGGAAGCTGGCTCTGTTAGAGGATTTGCAAGGATTATTCCCTACCTCCCAGGTGCGGCTGAAACATAAAGGCAGCTTAGCAGCAAAAAGGGGTTTCACTGCTCGTTTTCGTGGCATCGGGAGGGTGCTCAAAATTAAAATCGGTGTTTAGAGCACGGAGTTGTTTGGTTGGTCTACATATATGGGCATCACATGAAGCCACACATTTTGATAGCACATATCGCATTATTTCCGACTATATAACACTAAGATGATGACTAAACAGCTAACTTTGGGCCGGAATACCTGTTGACCCTTAGGGAGCCACTCACTTGATGACTAACTTAAGGCTACCAATGCAGGCTCCGAGACAACACGGAGATGTTTTCACTTGACACAAACTGGGGGTATGAAACTCTCAAAAATTAGCCATCTCAACGGAAATTGACTTTTTTAGGTTAATTATTTCCTTTCACGATTTGATGCAACCAGTGCTCACGCGTGTGGAACTACTCTAAGGTACAATAATAAATATTTAATTGGAAGTGACTTTATGAACAATGCGTGACATATTGAAACTTTGTCGCGAAGGGAACTACCAGTAAATTGGATTTGTTGGAGCATTTTAATAAAATAAACATTATTACTTTTCTTTTAGGGAGAAAAATCTTCAGGAAAAGTGACTTAGCTCTTGCAGAAGAACGAAAATCGGACATAGAAAGTTACGTTAAAACCTTGATCAAACTTCCATCGAAGATCTCTCAGAGCAGCGTGTTGGTTTCCTTTTTCCAAAGAAGGGGCACCGATCCGGAACGTTTTCACCAATTTCCCCAAAGGATTAATAGACTGAGTCGCGATGAAGAAACATGCAATTCATTCACTGACGTTTCTAGTGACCAGGAAGGGAAGAATACACCACGAATTAATGACTGTCTCAACACAAACCCTGCAAAAGAAGACTACGCCCAAGTAAGCTATACAAATCTCACATTCGAGGCGTCAGGAAGTATGGAAAGAGAGAGGCCACTAAAAAGCTAGGCGTCCTGGAACTCTACAACTCCATCAATGTTACATGTGAAACTTCACAATATTATTCAAATTTCAACATAGTTTACTTACCTTTTAAATAATTGAGGTAGATAATGAAATTCAGTCGGTGGAGACGAGAGAATCAGCTGCTTGATTAATCCTACCTTAAAAGCGAAGTTTTTCGTTTGTCTCACGATGTAGTCACGTGTGATGTAGATCGCGACATTTCGATCCTTTTAATCCTGCCTTTTTTCGCGTTTCCACTTTCCCCTTGTAATTACTCACTAAGAGCCTTGCAATGGCTAGTATACGCATAATCAATATCCAAAAGGTTCAATAAGGTTTAGTATGTTTTTTTTTTTTTAATTGAGGCAGACCACTACTAGCGAAGGGTTGGCTCATTTTGAAGTTGTCTAATCTCTCATCACTAATACGACATTAGTTCACGCAGCTGCCACAAAATTTTGCAAGGGTCAATTTCCATACTTGTGTTGCGTATGACATTAGAAAGAAGTACTACAAGGTAAGAGTGTTAACTGACGAGATAAAACAAAGGTTACTCTTGGATCGTCATAATTTGTGTAGTGATTAACGGAAATGTTAACCACAATATATAGAGATTAACAGTGATTTAAAATCAATTCCTTCATTTGGTTCCCAAGAGTCTGACTGGAATAATGAACGGAAATTTGCGACAATCGTAATAATTGTAGCTTAACGTAAAACAATAATAATGGAAAGAAATTACAATGCAAATTACTCACTAGACATTTTCGTTTGGAGTTTCTTTTTACATTCAAGAATGGTCGGTCAACATGTCATTATTTCTAGAAGCAATCTTAAAGGCACTGTCATGCTGAAGTATAAAAATTTTGAGTCTATTAGTCTATTAAGTGAACCACGATGCATGAAATTGAGCTCAAGTTAATTTTGCAGATTGGTTATTTTTCAGGTCCTTTAGAGCCACAAATTTTTATAGTTCGAGAAGACTGAAAATTCAGCTGGGAATGGATTTTTGTTTTTAAATTCTGGGAGGATATTCCAAAGAAAGAATTATTATAAGTTCTTTTTTTCAAAATTATAAAGTTGTTTTGTGGGCAACTAAATGTTCATAGTGTATTCATAAACAGATAGTTTCCTAAGTCCAATTTTGAATACCAAGCACTACCTGGTTTACATGCAAAGTTCTACATTGAACTGGCAACACAAACATTTCATAGTATTTCAATTTGTGAGAACAAATTTTTTGCAAATCTAGGACAACCTGCAAAATTTTCATGCTACACAGCTACAGAAAATTTCCTTCAATAAATAAAAACCCTTAAAATAGTGGTTTAACAAGAAGGAAATCTCCAGTAAGGCATGAAAATTTTTAAAAGAATGAGTGTAGGCAAGAATGGTTGAGGTGAACAAGAATTTCAAATGAAAAACTTGAAAATTTGAGGATAGATTTCTAAATTTGCAAAAGCAATTATTTCCTTAAAAAGGATTTTGAATTTTGTTTAATATTTAATTGTCAATAAAATGTGTTTACTCCACTGCCAGAAGACATTTTTTCACACCACTAATTAAGAGTAACCATACCTATGTAAAAAGAAAAAAAAAAGTTGAATGGAATTGCTAGTAAGAGCTTTTCCAATGGGAATATATTTGAATTACAAAGACTTTCCAGAGCATTCATACCAAACAATTAACACTGCTAATGGTTCCCCTGTTCTTGCACTGGCTTATCAGAATGAAACATGGTAATTACATCTGTTGACACATCTGACTATAAAAAATACCCTTCCAATATAACTTACAACACTTAATGCAGTGTCATGTGGTTTATGCTTCTGAAAATTGATTTTGTTACTTTACAGAGTTTCTGCAGTGATTTCTATTTTACTTGATGATGTAAAAAAAAAAAAAGAAGTTCATAAAGCCATTGTATTCTTTGGTGCAGGTGGTAATGTAATGTTTGCATTAACTACTCCATACCACAATGAAAGCCAAATGCATTTATTATTTTTTATAGCTTTGTAGTTGATATTTTGTCTAATTTGACATCAGTTTAATTTTTAAGGGATTTAACAAAACACAACACATTTTCCTAATACAAAAAGGAACATTACAGAGTGCTGTGTGAATCAAATTACTGCTTCTATAGCACAACAACTAACAAAAAAAAAAGGAATTGTGACTGAAATGCAGTGGTATATTTACAAATTATCTGCTGGTTGCTTTTCAACAGGAAAATTTGCCTATTCATTTTTTAAATTTTTACTTCGGTATAACTTTATACATTATTTTATTGAGTACACATTAAAAAGGTTGTGCTATATGGAGAAAAAGAGGCCTATAGTTAACAGAACTTTCCATCAATACCTTTTCCATGATTGAATTTCCAATTGATCCACTTTCTCTTGAATAGAACTTGTCCAAAAAACTACTTAAGACCTGACTAGAAAATGTGATGTGGCAGGAGGCACAAGTAAGTTTGAAATAAGTAAATGAAACATGATTTTACTCTGTTTTTCAGCATTTACCACTAAGTGATGTGTTCTTCAAAAATAAAAGAATTTCTGAATCTCCGAAAAAAAATTATCCAATTGACAATCTCTTAATTCTGAGTGATTCAATGAGTGCAAACTTCATTTAGAATCAGCCTGATGCAGAATGTTTGTTGCTGACCAGCGAACCACAATATCGATTTAGAAATTTTGCGAATTGAAAATAAGCCGGTCTTGATTCAGTAGGATCCACTGGAAATACCTCCACCTGATTGACCACAACATTTCTTACAGCTCTAACCTTCTGATTTCGGTGGTGTTACCCAGCCATATTTCTCATGCGTCTTCACTAATCGTTTATAAGCAGATTCTGCCTCTTTCTTAGAGAATGCCTTTTTGGTTGATCGGTCGATTCGTCCTTGACCTTTCACAACGGCAGCAGAGAACTGTAACACTATAGCCTCAACAGTATAAGCACTGCTCCATCCTTTGGGAGTCAATAGCTCCATACAAATCGCTCCACCGTCTAAAACGAAGCCTCCTTCGATTCGCGGCGCAGAAACTCGCATAAACGGAGGCGCAAAGGGAAAATTATCGGGAAATGTAATATTCAATAGAATGAACTTGGTTCCAGTTTCAACCATATCCCTATATAACAAACTATCTGTGTCGATTTTGTATAATTTCACGTTCCATTCGTAAAGATTATCCTCCACAAGTTCTGCTGAAAATAATTTGTTGTCACAACGCACAGTTACATCGTGAAATTCTTTCATGAGTCGCTTTGCTCGAACCCTTTGAGCATGAGAGGAAGACATTTCATTCACATCGCTTGTTTTCACACCATTACTCCCTGCGGTTTTCGCCGGCAAAGAATTTAGGTGTCTTGTTTCTGTACTGCTTTCTTGAGTTTGATTGCTAAATTCCCCATCCTTTCTTTCGCTCTTGAGGTCCGAGTTTCCCTTTGTTTTACACCCACTCTTATCGCTACCTTCTCCGTTGCGGGATTCACGTCTAACCAGTTTTCGAAAAACGGACGCCATTTTGAGAAGTCCGCAAGTAAAATTCGAAGAGGGCAAAACAAATACCCGTTGCTGACAATTATACGCGCTCGGAATAAAACAATTTTATAACTGAGTCAGCAATCCTGAGCTGTACTTCCCTCCCGAGCTAAAATCTAATCGATTCCTGTTGCGACATTAAAAATAAACACAAAAGTAAAGACACCGAATACATCGTCAAAGTCCCCTGACCTCGTCAACAATAAACATCGTGATGACGAGCGAAGAGAATCGTGAGAGGTTTGGTCGCTCCTAAATCAAAGCGAGGCTTGTACGAGGCTATTCAGCTGTGGACTGAGTACCAGTCTTGCAAAACCCGCCATTTTTGAAGACTTCGATGGAAGTTTTCTGAAAAAATAACTTTTTCTATTCTCAATAATATGGAAAATAGATGAACATTACCGATCACTGGAGATGGAAGCAAACTTCGAAAGGGAGCTTAAACGTATGTTCTTATTTTTGCCTTGCTTTTTTTGTCAAACAACTCAAAGATATATAGCGTCTTAGCTATCGATAGATCTAAAGTTCACATGGAGACAGATCGACGAGATTAAACATTGAAGGTCTTAATGTGTTCGTGATTCTTTTTTGCACGTTTTTATTTAGAGCTCAAGAAGAAAAAACTTAAAGCGCAGGAAAAAGGTGATCTAGCCGAAGAGGCTAAACTCTGCAATGCTGTTGGGGAAATGCTTTTCCATTATGGTGAGAACACTTGATTACGTATTGTGAGATCTTGTTAACAGAACGAATTCGACCAATAAAACGAGGTAAATGTCATTAATAATCAATATCAACTCATAACTCAGGGTAAAATGCCCGGAGAGCCACATACCTCATTATGCACACAGTTTTTGGATAAAGGAAACGATGGCGACTTTGGGACTACCGCTTTGTTTTTGTAAAGATCTCCGCACAACCCCATACTACATTCAGATTAAAACTGATTAAAAGATAATTTAAACTTAACTTAGCATGGTGTATATCATGTGATGTAAAGTGAAGTGTGTCATTCAACTTACTTAGGATTCTATGAAAAGGCTGTTAAGGAACACACAAGGGAAGTGCAGTTATCTGAAGCAAGTCAAGACACTATTGGAGCTGCTATTGCTCACAGAAAAGTGGGAGAGTGTTTGTGTGCACTGAAAAAATATAAAGAGGCTCTGTTTCACCAAAACTTGCATCTTGAGGTAAGTCTCAGTAACAGATTGTTGCCAACAATGTTATGCCCTCTCTTCAATATTCCCTCTGAATCACTAAAATTGAATTGTATTTATTTCATCCCAGACATTATTCATATGCTGATAAAGCTAACTTAAAATGGAGCCTTAGTCAATTAGTTTTTATTGGAAATGAGGGGTTCTTCTGTGCACTTTCATCAATTCATTTGAGAACATTATCATCATCCTGGTTGACTATAGCGAGAGTGACCTACACAGATGAGGCCCTGGTATTGCTCTTTTCCTCCAATGCGTTCGATTTTCCCACTATGTAGCTTTTTGGGGATGCAAAATACAGATAAAGAGCCATCACTTGACAACCAAATCTTTGTGGCTCAATGGCTAATCACAATATTTTTTAGGTAAACTTGCTTTATGCACAAGACTTCCACTACTCAAATCTCCTCTTTTTACTTTAAACACACAAAAGCTTGCTCGATCAGCAAAAAATCTTGTTGAAGAACAGCGGGCCTTGGCCACCATTGGGCGCACATGGCTTGTCCACTCAGATGATGCAATCAATAGTGACGAGGTGGAAGAATTTCTTCTTGAGGCACAGACTGCATTCCTGAAAAGTCTAGATGTCTGTGACAAACTACACAGAAGTGTTTCCCAAAAGGAATTGTTAGAGATGAAGTCAAGATTGTATCTCAATCTTGGTATAATTTATGAAAACCAGAAGGATCTGTGTAGAGCCAAGAATTTTATGGAGAAGGGTTTGATCATTGCAAGGTAATTTTTCTCTGTGCAATGTATAATTGGAATTGGAAACATTACAAACTTGAGAACAAAAGTTTATCTTTCAAATTAAGATTTCATCTTGGGAACAAGAAATAGTTCTTGTTTAAGTTGTAAATTTTTCCCTGTAAAATGTACATAACCCACAAACCTCCACCCTTGCTAACAATAACTCTTGCATGCTACACATGCCTATATATTGTTTGTTCCACACTCGCAACAAGATGAAAAACATCTTTATCTATTTCTTCTCCGTTCAGAACTCACCATCTCTCTTATTCCATTTACAATGGTATTAATGCTTGAAACATCAGCTTTCAAAATTCACTAAGGTGGTGTATTGACCTCTATCATATTCTTGATGATGATCAACTGGTTAGCCTTTTTATACTTGAATTAAAAGTTTATGTGGAACTGAGTTCAGCAAGCTTCAATAAATACACTCTACCATGCTGAGGCTTTGTGTTCTCACACTTACAGAGATCAAGGTTTGAGGGACACTGAGTACCGCTGTCTACTAGCAATTGGTGGTATTCAAATGAAATCTGATCAAGATGCACATGCCTTGAGGTGCTTTGAACAGGCCTTACTGGTGGCCAGACAGGGAAACAACAAGTTTGATGAGGCAGATGCTTTGGCTTTGTTGGGAAAGGTACTTTAGGAGTTAACCTCTTTTATTTACCACTTCATGTTTAAGTGTTGGGGTGAATGGGGTATCAGATGATCTATTAAATAATTCAGAAAGAAATAAACCTGTGACTTAACTTTGTCATTCATGACATACAACTGTCAGTCACAACAAGACTGAACCCCACATTTCTGCGAATTAAGTTGAACTGTGACTTAATGTGACCAGGCTCACAAAATGCATGACATTTTTGTCATAGTTTTAGAGTTACATCTGCAGAAACTATTTCCTATTGATAATCAAGTCATCCCACACACAGGATGTGCATCATAAATTTCTTGTATGTCACACTATCATGCCTAGCTTCAAAATCATAAGAATTTCCTGTTATTGTTTGATTCCTTATAAAAGAAGTACAGTTAGTTAGTTTAATTCAGTAGTTCAGAGTGTCAAGACCTGCACCTACAAGCTCAGGACCTCTTGGTCACAAAAAAAGTAACTCCATTGTAACCGCAAGTTGGTGACCTATTTGACTGAGGATTTGCTTGCAATCACCTTTTTCTTTTTTGTAGTTTCTTGTATAAATAAATTTATTTGTGGCTATATGTCTGTCTCATTGTTCAAATAACAACATCAGAACCTGCCTTGGTCACATCAATTTAAACTTCTAATTGCCAGGCTGAAAGCGGACCTGGAAAAGACCCCTCAGAAACAACAGCACTATAATGCCCCACAAATAACTTCCTCATTGCATTAGTATAGGGAAGCAAACTGAACAACATATCTTCACTGACAGACTAAAACTGGCCAAGTAGTTTTTACAAACCAAACTTAAGCTTATCCTAAGCAAAGAACTCCTGGTGTGATTCTATTGACAACTGCTGTTGAGGTTGTCAAAATGTCAATCACTGTCACCTACATCAGTCATTTTCATGTTCCCCCTTATCCAGATAATCAGATTGCATGATCAATTATTACCCATCTATTCAAACCATTTACAGTGGTAGATTTATTGTTGATGTGTACTTTCTTATTTGTTAGGTTTTCCTCAAGCTGGGGGAATTTTCAGCTGCTCGTAGTAATTTAAAGAAAGCATACATTATTAATAAGACCAAGAGATCTGATGATCTAGAGGAATTGAAATCAAGTTTAGCAACAGGTAAAGCCAAATCTGAGGCCATTTTTTTTCATATGTCATTTACTAAACCACAGCATTCTTATCATTTCACTTGTTTTGTCTTTGTAGCCATAAAGGGAATTAGATTTGAGAGAAAATGGGCTAAACTCTCAGAATTTTCTCTGGATGAACAAATTAAAATATTGGACACCCTTGGTGATCTGTACTGTCAAGCAAAGTCTTTCCGCAAAGCTTTAGGTTTCTACAAGAGGGAGGTAACTTTTCCATTCAATTTATAGAATAGCTGCATTGTATTGTATGTTCACCATGCAAATAAATTCTTAATAATAAATGCTTTTAGACTCAAGTGGAATTCTCTTGATGTAACCACCACTGGACTTGGTTTTAACACCAATACAGGGAAAAAATTGTATAATTCTATTAGATATGAGTGGTGAATCTTTTAACTCTGTAACTGATCTGACCGTCTTGTAGTGAACTTCAGTTGTGTGTAAAATTGACAAAATTTATGCAATTTAATGGATTCCGAACTGAAATAAAGTCACAATTAATAATCTGAGCACTAATATTGTTCAATTGTTTCAGTGCAAAAATGTACATCGACAAATAAATTTTTTTATTACTTATTAATCATAGTTGTAGCAGCCCCTGTTTTAATGAAGAAAGCAAAAAAAAATGATAATTAAAAACTATGAGGCTTATTTTGAGAATGAGGGGTTCAAAATATAGCAGAGTGGTAATTTTAGGAGATTTCAATGATAGTACTTACTGGTTTCAAGGCTAATTGACTATTAAAATGTCTCAACTCTGCAGCTTGATTTGGCCAAATGTGCAGGGAAGTCTGGCACAGAGCTGTCACCTATTTTTGTGTCCCTTGCAATAACATACTTTGACCTCAAATGTCCTCAAGATGCCATTGACTGCTACATGAAAGAACTAGAAACATTCAGTTTGGAAGAAGGGGATGCCAAAAAGGTAAACTGGAGAGTAAAAGTTGAATATTTGAAATTTTTATTTCACATTTATTTACCTTTGACCATAGACTCCTATTTGTATTAACTAACTGGTACAGCTTGCTACATGACTGCAAAACTCAGTTTGCCATATATTGTGACTCCCATATGATTGTTGATTAAATTTCCAAGACTGTTTCCCAATTGCTATGGTGGCCAGAAGGGTTGCAGCTTACAGTACTGTTCTTTAAGGTTCTTTGTAGTAATAGTAAAATTGAGTTTTTAATAATCCATCTGCTCTTTTCTCCTTATCAGTGCTGAGACAGAACGAGCAAAGTTTTCCTTTGAACCTGATCTACTGAGTAATCTGAGAAAATTGACCATTATTGTGTTTGGTCCAATGCCTTTGCTTCAAACTGTCTAACAAGCAGGGGTTTCAATAAATTTTTCTATAAGTGGCTGCCAATGGTGTTAGTGATAGGTGGCTGTGCCATAAGGCAAAAGCCAGACACAAGAGCCTGAAAGAGAAGGCAGCAAGATGTCTTATGGACAGTGGTAGACCGCCATTAACTGGCTTTCAGTGAAACCCCTGTTTAATGGTTGTCAGAAGAATGTAAAGTGGTCCTAGTTCAAGTTGATGATGTGTTACAGTCCTCTAAGAGCTTTCTTTTTTTGTTTTCTTATTTGTAGAAGTGCGACACGTGGTGTAACATTGCATATGTGCATGATAAAAGTGGACATGATTATGAACAGATTGAAGATGCCTACATGAAGGCCTTGTCTTATGCCAAACAAGCTGGAAAACCACAAGCTGTGGTAGGAATAAAAACTAAATTTGTTATACTTATGTTCCCTTGAGGTAGGCAAGCTTTGCTTAGGAGGAAACTTTTAAATGATATGGACGAAGTAAGTGGGTCTAAGCAACATTGTAGGCGTTTAGGATTGATACAGTAGAAAATTGGTTATGGTTTCTGATAATTTTGAATAAAATCATCAGGAAGTATGATTGACCCTTTCACCTCCAAGATCTCATTAGTAATTCTTCTTGCCATCATCCATACAGTTCTCGTGATATTGGTTCTGAGAATTCGGTATTTTAATTGTAAGCTTTTGGATTGAGTTACTTGAAAAGAAAGCAAACCAGAAAAATAAATTGACAGAAATAAACCTCTTCATCCAAGCTGCCAGCTCTGCTAATTATCTATGGTTAATGTTTTGAACAGCTGAGGGTGTGGAAATGCTTAGCAGATACACAAAAGATGTTTGATCTCAAAGACAAGTACCAAACATCAGTTTCCAAAGTTACAGAACTTGAAAGACAGTTTGATATTGAAGTTGTTAGTGATGACAGTGATGATGAAGAAGGAAGTAGTAATGGTGATGAAGATCTTGCAAAAGTTTTGATTGAAAATGAATTACTTCTCTCAGAATCTGGTAAGCAGAGGGTAGTTCTTTCTATTGACAAATAATGTATAAATAGCCCACAGGCAAAGCCCCTATAAGCCCTTGTTTAGTTTTAACATATAATCAGTGATTGCTTCTTTACATCTTTCTCAAGTGGTAAACTAAATAATATTAGCTACCAGTCCATGCTTTGTTTTACTGCCTCTGGTTATGTTTAATCAATATCAAGGTGCTTTTTTTAATAAATGTAAATGGTTTTTTATTTCTGAACAAAGAGTAATCATCTTTGTAGCTTTAATAGGAGAGGGCTAAGTTTATTTCCCCTCAATTTTGTATTTCTATGTAGATGAGGATAATGACAATGAAGGAGAAGATTCCAGACCGAGGAATAGTTCAAGACAACTAAGAACAAGAAGCCAGGTGAATATATTGTAAATGTATTGAAGATTAAGTAAATAATTATTTATGGCTTTTGTGATCTAGACTCCATCAGGTGGCAGTTATATCATACGATAATGCCTTTTGCTGGGTAAAAAATTTAAAACATAAATCAAGAAGCCAGCTTCTTGCACAAGTGAGATCTTTTGGGAAATATTTTTCAAGTACCAGTAATTGGTTTTCCTTCACAATAGCAACAAACCATTTGGAAAAAAAGAAGAGCTTAAACAAATATAGTGCATTTCCTTGAGGTATGTTTTCAATTGATAAATAAAATTTTCATCTTAATTTATTTTTTCTGTTTTGCTTTTTGACAGCGAAAATATGTGAATGAAAAAGGAGAAACCCCACTACATGAGGCAGCAATTGCAGGAAATTCACAACTTGTGAAAGAGCTGTTGGAAAAGGTGAATGCTATTCGAGCTGTTTGTTAGTTTTTTGGGAAGTGTGAAAGTTATTTGCTGCTGATGTAATGTACAAACTAAGTTAACATTCAGAAAATGACTTTACCATACATTATATATCTTAACATTTAAGTAGCCCAAGAATTTCCTAATACTCATGTAAATGAAACATTTTATGTGCTTCAGGGTATATTGATGCAATGCTCTACAAAGGATGTTCATTTGTTTACTTAATGTCCATTTTCAGGGATCTGATGTCCATGCAAGAGATTACTGTGGCTGGCTTCCACTTCATGAGGCTTGCAACCATGGTCACCTAGGTTCTGTTCACTTTCCTGTCTTGCATGAAACCAACTGAAAAACCTGCATACACTTGGAAACAGTCAGTCTCAGAATACACTTGATTTAGGAGGATCTTGATCATTCTCAGATTAAATTGCATGGAGATTGTTGGATTTAATCTTGTGACTTAAAAGGTGTTGGGTGTTCATTTTTCTTTGGAGGGGGAGGGGGGATACATTGGCATAGACAACAATGTTTTAGACCCCTTCTCGAAAGATTCAGGTTAGAGCTTTTGTTGGATCACTCTGTTGTGTTCCTGGATGCAAGAAGACACTTAACCCTCACCGTGCTTCTCTCCAACAAGGCCCCTGTTCATTGGGTGGATAAGGCTTTCCACTGGATAAATTCCCATCTGGTGGATAGTAGAATACATTTTGTTGACACTTATCAGCTGGGTAGCAACTAATACTTTGGATAGTGCTACCTTCCCTTCAAACAGTGGGCTCAGGTGTATAAATGAGTGCCAGCCAATGGTCAGGATACCTAAAATTGTTTGAAATACCGAAGGGATAAACCTATAATAGACTAGCATCCCACAGGAGGATAAAGGGGGGAGGGGGGGGTAATACTGGTTGTGCCTTTGTACTATTGTAAGCTTCCACTGGATGAGCCTTTGGACTCAGAAACTGAAACTACCTTTTGATTTGTAGAGGTGGCTAAGCTTTTACTCATGGCAGGGTCAAATGTTAATGACCAGAGTGGTGAACACTGCTGTGGAGTGACACCTCTCCATGATGCAGCTGAGAATGGTCATGTTAATGTTGTCAAGCTCTTGCTGTCTCATGGAGCATCCATCAATCTGAAAGATGACAAGGTTAGTTTGGAGAAATGCGCAGAATCATTGTACATCATAAGTCAGGTAGTTTACATGGTAAGAATGCTTTGGGGGTTTTACAAAATGAGGTAATTTTTGTGTGTTATCCTCGTGGATTGTCTTTGATCTGCAAAAAAAATAGCTCGTATAGTAAAATACTCCCAAAAAATAGAACTACTAAAAATTACAGCCTTCAGACATGTGTATTATTCCTGAATTAGTTTTCTTCTTATTCTCCATACTTAGACATATTTAAATATCCATTGCAAATTGACTCCCTGTACCTCCTCTCAATGGGACTTAAAAAGTAAAAAGAAAAAAATTGGGAAATGTTGTAATTTCTCTCCTTGTTAACCCTTTAACTCCCATGATTTTATCATTAATCCTCCCCTTTAGCTGCCACACATTTCCTTTTAAATTAGTGATAAGAATCTGTCACTGGATCAAAATAAAAACTTGCACTGAATAAGTTTGAGTATTCACTTCACCTGTTTGTTGGATAATGTATTGATATTATAGGGAAAAGTTACATGTCTATCACTTCTAGGAGTTGAAGGGTTAATATTCTGCTGGTCTAATAAAGTGTTAAGCAACTGGTGTTTTTTGCATGAGTGAAAACAGGGAACATTGTTATGGAGATGGAAATATTGTTTCAGTTATTTTTTTGGTGGGGAATGGAAGGATTGATTGACCATGATTCACAAATTTTTTCACTCTAATATCTCAAGCTATGCTTTTTTTTCATACCTAACCTGATTAAGCTGAAGTTGAGCTTTATGTTTTTAATGGTCCAGCTGCAGTTTCTAGTTTACATCATTATAAAAATGGCATTAATTATCTTTCTATTTGACAATTTCGTGATTGCTCTGTTTGTTTATACAGTGTAATAATACTCATACTAGTACAAATTCTCTGCTTTTAGTTTGTTTGTTTGTTTTTATCACCAGGGTCGTACAGCTTTGGAAGCAGCCATCCAGACACTCAATATTGATAAAGCTGATGATGAACTGTCTACTGGAAGACAGCAGGTGGTAAAACTTCTGCGCAATCACAAAGCAACTAAAATTAGTTCAGAATTAAGGAGACGAAATGTAGTGTTTGATGATGATGATAATGATGAAGAAGCAGATGAGTCTTCTCAAGAGAGCACAAGTGCTCTGCAAAGATTCAATGATAAATTAATGAAGAAGGAGATTGAAAGACTTCAGAGAATGAACAAAAAAATTTTGGACAACAGCAACCAAGGCCATGTGGATGAACCACATCCTCCCAAGACCCTGAGCAAAGGAGCTTTCATAAGTGAGGATGATGATTCGCAGGAAAACCAACTTGAAGTTGTCCTTTCGTATCCTTCTAGTTCTTCTGGTGAGCCAGCACATTCTTCTGTTCATCATGTGGTTGGCAGTGCTAATGACATGTTTTCTTGTGATAGTGATGAAGCATCCTTTGATGCTGTTCACAATAATGGAATTGATGTTGGTGATGATGATAGTACTTATGCATCTATGGATGAGGAGAATGGTGTTGAAATGGTTGATTTGAATGATCAAAACTCTGATTTTGGGTTAAGTGCATTGATAACTGATCCCATAATAGAAACATCAAGTGATACTAGCAGCCATTACACTGGTCCAGTAGCATCTCATATTTCTCAAAAGACTGCAGATTGGCTTGTGGATGATGTTGGACCAAGGAGGGCAAAACGTAAACGTCAAGCAAAGCTCACAAACCTTGCTAGATCAACTGATCACACCAGACAAACGGCAACCGCATCTAGGCCAAGACATCGGTTAAGTCTTGGTAACACTCACAAAGGGCCTCGCCCAAAGCAATCAAGATTGGTTGTATCACAAGAACCTAAAGCACCAGAGAGTCCAAGTAATACCATGTTGTCTCATGATAATTATGTGACAAATCATTGGTCTCAAAATGATCTTTTGACATCGATACCATCTGGATCAGAGGTAACATCTACTGTTCTAGGTGTAAGAACTAGTCTTTATGACTCTCCTGGAGCAAGTTCAAGACACACAGGAACCCCAGGAGGAACTCCACCCATGCGCCTTAAAGTATGGGTGCAGGATAAAATGTTTCTTATTCCATGTCCTCAAGGCAATGCACAAGAAGCTAAGAGTGTTGGATGGTTAGCTGAGCAGGTTTGTTTTGCTTTATCTCTCTTGAGCTTACATCTCTAGTGTAATGCCTAAATAATTGCTCAGGGCCAATAATTCATGGATTTTACATCTTTTCTCATTCATTCCATATTCATCTATTTATTTTAACTTATTTTGATTTAATGAAATTTATTTTGCTGGATATGAATAAACTTATGCTCAAACAGGTGTATGACCTTTTTTTTTCTAGAGAGAGAGAGAGAGAGAGAGAGAGAGAGAGAGAGAGAGGGAGAGTAGCAACTTTAACCATTGTACCCCTAAGTGACCAGCATCTAATTTCTCCTTGCAATATCACTCTGAACCAAACATTATGGTCATGAGAATAAAGGGAGCTGTGATTGCTAACCTAAAGAAGCTCCAGCTCTCAAACAAATAATTATCCTTGTCAGCACCTCAGAAAATGTGTAGAAAACAGTATGGTGAATATGCATACTGATGTTAGTGTGTAAAGGGTTAATTTTACACTCAAACTATGGACCTCACTGTGGAATTGCAAAATTTAAATTACATTACAGATCTCTCATGACACAATTGCAGTATTCTAGATTTCTAGCATAACTTTATAAATTAAAGTATTTTCAACACTTTGGATGTGCTAATTTTTCGGTACTTGCTGTTGTTTTTACCTCAAAGGCTTCCCTCAGGTACTTTTCCTCTTCTGGCCTTCGTCCTGTTTTAGCCCTGAAAACAAAGGAGGGTGCTTTCTTGTCAGTGGAGGATAAAATCACAGATGTACTTTCAAGTAATGAAGAAGTTATAGCATCAGTGGAATCTTGGGACTTGCCTGCATTGTCAGAGAGATATCATGATGCATGTCTCAACACCAACACTGGTAAATTATACTTTACAAAGTTTTAGGAGGAGGAGTCTTAAAAAAGCCATTTATTTAGTTACTTTGATTGTATTTAGTATTGCCTTTTTGTGCATTTTGTCAGACGTATTTGCTGTGCTTGCTTGCCTTGACAAATCTCTTGTCCATGGAAGATTATATATCTGTGTTGTTTTCTATGGTGTAAATAATCTAAAGCTTTTTTTACTTCGTAACTTTTCTGGTGGATTTTCAAGGGATTCCCCTTCCCTTCCTTTCACTCTACATTCTAAATATCCAGGGTTTTTGCATCATCTTGAAATTCTTACTTGCCTTGCCAACCCAATGGTTGCAGCTTGGAACACTGTACCAAAGTGCTGGATCACAGATAAACACTTGTATCTCATTAATAACACCACAACATCTTTGTTGGATATCTCATTCCTTAAAAAAGTGAATTAATCTGATCAGAAATCTTTTACCTCACTCAGCATACATCAAATATTGTTTTTCACTATGCCTGATTTTAAGGCTTGACATTTTTTCACCTATTTCTTTGTCCCTAGTACCTCAGGTAGATGTACTTTGCATCCTTGAAGCAGATCCTCATTTGTCAAGCCTCCATCTAGTAAACAAAGCATTACAAGATATCTTTGTGCTGCCTCTATTCAGAGCTCTGCAGTGTCATGACACTCTGACAAAGCTCTCATTGCCTGGGAACAGGATAGGTATGTACAAAGAGGTTCCAGTGATACTCTCAAAGTCATGACTACATTGATCCACCATCTATATTGTAACTCAATGAACAAAGTGACATGAAATTTTTTGATCAATTTAAAGTACTTTTTATTACTGGATTCTCATCCAGGTGACTCTGGCATCCAGCATCTAGTATCAGCTCTCCCAACTCTCCCCTCCCTTGCTGTACTGGACCTGGCCTCCAATGGAATAACTAACAAAGGACTGTCATTTGTTGCTGGTGCTTTGACTTCCAAGGAATCACTGAGTTCAGGACCACAACAGGTTTGAAAATTGCTCCCAAAAAGGTGGGAGATATGTCACTGGCATCTGTTTTACCTTGTCTTGAAAGTAGTGACCCACATTTCTTGCAGTTTTGGCAACTTTATCCTTTCAGCCCTTGTCATTACTTCAAGACTAGCTGAAGCTTGCACTGTGAATGGTCCACTCTAAGTTATTGAAATTTTTTAAGAGAACATTAGCAAAATTATTGCTTACTATCAGAGATATCTTAATAGAATTTTATTATAAGGGAAGTTTCTTACAATTTTACTAACATTTGTATTTCAAAAATATTTTCAAAGCTTTTCAATTTTAACTGAGCTAAGTTTTGAAGCTCACTAAATCATGTTAGCATGTATTGTGCTCTATATAAGAATTTTACAACTATCATTGCCTCAGTTTAGAAATATTTACAATTAACTATCACTATGCTGTTGTCTCTTTTTCCAGAACTGTATTCTTCAAAAGTTGGAGGAACTTGTTATCAGCTATAACTGGTTGGGAGACAGTGCAGGTAGTTCACTGGCTGTCATTCTTAAAGGATGTCCTATTCTAAACATTCTAAGAATAGAATCTTGTGGGTTGACTCATGAAGTTGTTGCCCAGGGAAAAGCATTTGCTTCAGCCTTAAAAGGTGAATTTGTAATTAAGAGTATGTGAGTCTAACAAAGATTAGTGGATGCTAGTGGGTCAAATCATAACTAGGGCTAAATCTAGATTTTACCTTAGCTGAGGATTTTGATTTCTACTCTGTGACAAGACATTTAACCTAAGATTAAGGGTTCATGTGTAGAGGAGAATAATCAAGGGGATATTTTCCAGCCTTATGTTTTTGTTGTTTTGAGAGTGCATTTTACATTTACCTCTCCCTTTGCCTTTGTCCATCAATGCTTCGAATGATCAAGCGCATTATCCAAAATTTGGTGGTACATTTATTTTTCTTTAAGCTTCAACTAGTGAGTTTTTTGTTTTTGTCCTAGAGGAGTCTGTTAGCTTGTACTAGAAGGTGATCTATTTAAAGTCAAATTATTTATAAGCATCTTAACAGTGAGATTTCTTGAGGTGTATTAAAATGCAGATCATACTTTTTCCACTCTAACCATGGCTAGTTACACATAACTCTGAAAACACTAACTTATGAAATGTACTCATAGCACAATGATGTATGGTTTACTCCTTCAGGTTCAAAGTTATTACAATTGTCTGTGGCCTACAATTCTCTTGGCCCTCAAGGAATAACAGATTTAATGAGAGCTCTTCCATCTGAGTCATTGAATCACCTGAATGTAACCTCATCGCTGCAAGATCAAGGCAATCAATTGGCTTTCCAAAGTATAGAGGGATTTATGGAAGTATGTACAAGCTAAATACTTACTGTCAATTAGAGAAGAGAATTTTAGCTCTCAATTGAGATTTCTGCATGTGTAAATTTCCAGTTGTTGAAAAGAGCGACATTCCTTTTCACACTGTTAGAGGTTTTGTAGTTTGATAAATTTCTGCATCACTGAGTTTGGTTCTTTGAATTTTTGACACAGCATAAACTGAAACATGGACATTTTAATGAAATTTCTGTCCTCTCAAAACTTTTTTCAAACATTGCAAACAGAAATCTAATGATTTGCACTTCAGTACCATAAAAATGCTATTTTGTAAACTCTATAATCTACACCATTCCTGTTTTGGAATGTGTATTGGAAATTATTTGATTACTGAGTGTTCAGTGCAACATTACTTTGAGATTTCATAGTTTTAACAGCATAACATGATGTGTGCATTTTTAGATTGGCTGTATCCTTTCTCATCTGGTTCTTGGAGATTGCTTTATTGGCAACAAGGACCTGGAGCTTCTCTTCAAAGCTAGACATATATTCTCAATTCTCAGTTTGGATCTGAGTTGCAATAAAATTGGTGCTGATGGATTACCATTCCTGGAAAGGTCAGACTTCAAAACAATGATTTCTTGCATACTAATCACCCTATATTGCTGAAGTTTACCTGAGGAAAAAAGCTCTCTAAAAAAGTACAAATTCTCCTTGTCAGCGTAGTAAGAAATTTATAGAAAACAATATCAAGAATAAGCATACTGAGGGTTAACATTAATCTCATGCTTTTAATTTTTTTTAGACTTGTGAGGGAAAGCTGCAAACTTTCAACTCTTGTTCTGGCTGGTAATGAAGGCATTGACTCTGTGGGAGTCAAGGGTTTGCTTGTGGCAGCTAAGGACAGTAAAACCCTCAGAAAGCTAAATTTGTCTACTTGTGGAGTTCAATCACCTCTTGATGACTCATTCTTTGATGCTTTAAAAACCGCAATTTCACAAGGAGACAGGGAATGCTGTCTTGCAGAACTAGAACTATCTCACAATCTGATCAGTACTGTTGATAAAGAAAGATTGGCAGAAGAGTGGCATATAGGGTATGGAGGAGAAGGTTTAACATGCTTAAAGAATAATCTCTGCTTGTTGACAAAGTCATAAATTGTGGTGGGTGAGCTAAATTGAATTCATTCAAATTGTAAATAAAGGGCTTATATTTGTAGAATATCAAGTGTTTTTTACTTCTGACAGTGTAATGTTACTCAAATTTAATGGGCAAGATTTTTAGTGTTACTGTGGCAAAAGTGATGTACTAATTAAACTTCATATCAAGCAACTGTACTTCAATTCTTACTTCCAGTAGAAACAGAAGCATGGGTTCAGGATTCACATTCTTTTGAAAATCATAAAATTTCATGACTTTCAGTGACCTTTGAGTGAGCTTTTGAGATTTTCACATGCAAAGGATAAGGTAGCTCCAATCAGAGTGAAAACAATCAATTCATGAAGGCCTTTTACTAAGTTGTTCTCCAAAGTTTAATTTCAGGAAATTTCCCATGTCTCTGTATGACTCACCCCCAAATTCCATGAATTTACAGGCCTGCAAAATGATATGATGGTACTCCACAACTTTACAGGTTTTCCATGATCCATAAACCTTTTTCTCTTTTGCATTTTTGAGCCTCACTTTCAATTTGGTCAAGAAGAAACAAAGTGTAAAGCCAACATGTAGTCATCTTGGGTACACAAGCTTGGTCAGTTAACCCTAAGAGTGACATCTAATTTCTCTTTACAATATTATCCCTGATTCAAACATTAAGGTCATGAGAGTACAAGAAATAATCACCAACTTGAGAAGCTTTTGATTGTGAAACATAATCTCCTTATCAACACCTTAGGAAATGTATAAAGAAGTGTGGAGATTATGCTTACTGGTGTTAGGGTGGAAAGAGTTAAGGATAAGAATTGTTAAATAGAGTAAATTTTGAGGGTTGTAAGTAATCCAGATTGCTTTGGGTTTGCTTTATTCTCCTGTGTGATTGGTCCAGAAAATGCCCATCATCCTCTTGACTAATCAGCTCAACACTGAAACAATTGTGGAAAAAAAACTCACATTTTTCCACTTAAACTCTCATTTGCTCCTTGTGATATTTTTCTCTCCCCTGATTAGCTGTGTTGATAACTTTGGTTATGGTTTTAGGTGATTCAAATAAATTGTGCTATTAATACACAAACCCAAAAACCTTTCCCTTGTTCTGACTATATTAAGGATGTGTTATACGGTTATTTTTGTTGTTGCCAAACCTGTGGGAAAAGTTGCTTCCTGTAACAAAAAAAGGGTTGTCTTGCAGTTTTAAAGAAGGGAACTGTAGAACATGCAATTGCTCCCAAGTATAATTCTTAAACCACAGGAATCACTTCATCTTGCCTGTTCATGAAGCCAGTAAATAATTCAGTAATCTGAAGTATGTTAATATCCTCCTGTACTGTTGGGTTACAAAACTGGGCACATATATCTGTCTTTCTCACTTTGATGGTTGAGAAATTTAATAGGAACATCCTACTGCTCAGAAAAGCTGAGCAATCAAAATTTACATCATTACTCCATTACGTACCTAGCGGATGAATGATTCACATTGCAACTAAGTGAATATCTCATTATAATTATAAATAACAAGGAGAGAAAGTTGTAGAAGTTTGATAAACAAGGTTTTTATTTGAGACATCATAAAGATTAAAAGCTATCTATTGTCTTATTCTTGTTTGTGCCAACCTCTCAGTTAATGGAAATGAAAAAAAAGAGCAAGCTCACAAAAGACAGCAGAGTTGGCTTGCCTGTGTCTTCACTCATTCCCACTGACTGAGAGCCTTGAATAGGCTATTCTCATCCTGTAAACTGTTGTGTTGACCTGAATGATTCTCTTGTTTTGGCAAAACTCACATTTGACAACATCTTTAGCTTAACTGTTGGCTGAGAAATCTTCCTCTTCACATAAGTGTATGATAACTAAATTTTGTTGCAAATTTCCAGCACACTCTGATTTAAACCAACCAAAACAACAGTTCCAGTTCTATTTCTGAATGTATCTACCTTGTGAACTGTCTACTTATCTACTTGCAAAGTCTTAAATGTATCAACAGTGACCATGATATGCAACTTTAGCAGTCATTTCCATCAAGTTTGATATCAATTCACACCTCCAAAGTGTGATTTCCAATGTAATAGGTAGTGATCATCCCAGAAATTTGGCTAGCAAGCTGGAGATGTAGAAATCTTGTCTTTTATTTGATGGTGTCACACTTCAGAAGCAAATTTCTCTTAGCTCCTCTTCTGATTTTATTGGAGTACAAGCTACCCTTTTCATTGCAGAAAAGAACCTGTATTTCTCATGAACCAGGGATGCTAAACACTTTTTAGAACAGCTGTGGTTTTTCCTTTATTTCCTGGTTAATTCTTTGTTCCACTAAGCCTAGCAGCATGTTTTCTGTTGGTATGTTATAGCTCACAAAACACTGTTTGTTGGTCTTCTTAGCTGAAATTAGAGAGAGCAATTCTACTTAATAGTGGCAATGACTTCAAGAATCAGAAGGTTGCTATCAGAGTCCACTCTCATATGGAAAAAAAAAATAAAAGGTGAAAGAGAAAAGAATCAATTCCGTTTCTAGTATTATGTTGAAAGCAAAGTGTCTTGGGCTGGAACACAAAGATACTGACAGCACTAATGACACCTATTACTTACCAAGCCTTTGTGCCAAGGTGGTTGAGCTTAGATCAGCTTTACTTCCTATAAGGTTGACAACAGATGGCACTGGATCCTGTCACAGTAAATAGTGCAAAAATATTTTTGTGGAATCGATCTCTCTCTCCCTCTCTCCCTCTCTCCCTCTCTCCCTGATCAGTAGAGGTAGAAGGAGGGGGTGGGAAGGGAACGAGACTCCAGAAAGACTTTTATAAGCACCATGCTCCACTCCAAGATTTACATTCGTGAAAAATTTACCAACCCTTCATCCCCTGTCTACCCAAATTAGTGTTGCAAATGAGAGCTTAATCATAGTGTTCTGGTTTTCAGCAAGGGCACTAAAACTTGACCTTTCCCTGAAGGAAACTTTGAATGGATTGGCATGTTGAGAGACACACAGTGACAGTTGTACATTACACCTTTCCCCCCTGACCTACCCTTAATTTCTAGATACTCTTGGGCGTTTAACTTACACGAGCATGACTAGTTGTATGTAAAGGAGACATTGATGGATCGGCTCATATTGAGAGACGCACGTTGGAGAAACAGCTTTTCATTACTCCTTTCCCCCTTCCCCAACCTAACCCTTGATTTCTAACATGCACTGGAAGTAACAATGCATTTCATACATCTAAGATGTCTGGTGGTTACCACTTACGTATTTTGTGCACATGGCTACAGCAAGAGCATCCATTTCCGGAGATGTTCCGATCCAAACATACAAACTGTCTGTCATTTTAAGAATTTGAAAATGAACCTTTTGATCGAGAAGCGTATCAGAGAACGTGTGTAAGGTAAACTTGCATTCTGCTGGCACAGGAACTTTTCCGTTGATACTTAACGCTGTCTCGCCGTTCGATTGGCGTTCGTTCTCCATTTTGAAAATGGTGAGTTCGTCAAAGTTCGGACAACTTCGGTGGTTCGATACCAGTCCCTCATTCGAAACACCGCCCGGCTCCTTAGTTATGAGCAACCACCATGTTTCATTCTTCTAAACAACTGAATGGTTCGTGTATGAATATTTTTTGACAGAAAGAAAGCGTTGCCCCCGGGAGATATCACATGGAGACCATGGTTAAAGCATAGCTTCCTCTTCTTTTGCATACCGTTTCTGTGCAGAAAATACCGGAGATTAAAGACAAGAAGACATAATGAATATTTCTGTGGATCATCAAGGCCCTCTTATTCCAGATATTGCAGCGCTTGTCTTTTCGTTTCTGGACGTGTCAGAGAAGCAAACTGCCGCTCAAGTGTGCCGTTTGTGGTATAAAGTGTCCTACCTTCCGTCGTTATGGCGTGGGATAACAATAGTTCTACCTTTGGAATGTTCCGTGGCGCTCGTCAAAAGTTTGAGCAAGCGAAGAATAAGAAAGGTGAACTGTTCTAGAGCGAACAGTAAGGACTTGTCAATTCTTTTTACTCATCTGCCGGAGATTACTCATTTGAATTTAGGCGGATGCCCTCAGGTTAGCGAGGTGTTCCTCAAATCTGAAATTCCCAAATTGCACCAACTGCAACATCTTTCCTTCAGGAGATGTGGACGGTTATCGGACAGTGTCTTAGAAGCTTGTGGTCCACAACTCAAGAAGTTGAAAAGTTTCACTTTAGAAGATTGCGACAACATCACTGAGACTGGTTTCCAAGGTTTTATCAAGCACTTAAGTGAACTGGAAGTGCTAGATTTAACATGGTGTGAAGGCCTTACCGATGGATGTCTCAAGACACTTGCACACTGCTGCCCTAAAGTGTCACAGCTTAGTTTACGGGGCTGTGACTGGGTTACTGTGCTTGGTATCCGTTTTGTAGTGGAGAATCTGAAAGACTTATCTGTTCTTGATTTTAAATGGAGTCATGGGATAACTGATGTTGCAGTTGAATTAGTGGCGAAGAACCTGCCTTGTGTCACCTTTTTGGATGTCAAGGATTGTCCATTTGTGACAAGTGATGGTATTGGCCATGTGACAAAGCACTTGAATAAAATCAAACACTTGTCTTTTGGTGGTGGTGATCACATGCATTTTGCAAACAATGTTCAAGACATTGAAAATATGTTCTTGGATATTTCCAAGCTAACAGAGCTGAGATGTTTAGCATTTGACTTCTGCGATGGCATCAGTGACTCTGCTATACACACACTGATAAAAAGCCTGCCAAATTTGAAGGTATTGGATGTTGGGTATGTGGAAACAATCAGTGACAGCACTGCAGATCTCATTGGCTCCCACTTGCAGAATCTTGAGTCATTGTCACTCAGCAGTCAAAAGTTAGCAGACCGAGGAGTTGCAATAATTGCCAGCAAATTGACTCATTTGAAGACATTGGACCTGAGACACTGCGAAATAAGTAATGATGGCATGGCACGGATGGCTCCATTTTTAAAGGATTTGAAGTCTTTGATATTGTCATCTCATTCTAAACTCACAAATGTGGGAGTGAAATACATTGCAAATTTCATGAAGAATCTGACAAGTCTTGATTTGATGGATTGTTGTGGAGTGACAAATGCAGGTGTTGCAATTCTTGCCTTCAACTTGACTCAATTGCAGCATTTGAATTTGTCCTACTGCAGGCGTGTTTCAAACAAAGGTAAATCAATGGAAGAATTAAACCATGTATTAAAATCTGTTTCGCTAAATTTGTTTCAAATTTGGAATACTGTGGTTCCTCAATGCTCACTGCACCAGAATGTCATGTGGTTTGGGTTCTTGGGCATTTATTATCCCAGTGTCTGTGTTATCATTGAGTATCAATTGATACCAATGAATATCAGGGAAGCCACATGGAATGAAGGAGAGGGGCTAGGGAATTTCACACAATGGACTATGTTTCCATCTGAAAGGAGTAGCAGAACTCCTCATCACTTCATTATTTAAGAACCATTGAACAGCTAGATAAACTCAACCAATTACTTATTTTAAAACTGTTAACTCCCAGAAGTGAATTACATTTAAGTTCTCCCAACAGTGTCCATAGATTATTCAGCAAACAGGTAATGAGAATAATTAAGCTTATCAGGAAGAAGCTATCATCTTGATTTAACACAAAGATCTCACTACTAAGTTACCAGGAAATGCGTAGTAGTTAGTGGGGAGAATTAACCATCTGACCTTGGGAATCAAAGGGTTAATTGTATGATGATTTTGTCTCATCAGGTGTTTGTGAGGTGGGAAAATACCTGAAGGAACTCAAGCAGCTGACATTAGACCAGACCAAAGTAACAGATCAAGGGTTTGTTTATGTCAGCAGACATTTGCCTAAGCTGGTATCTCTTGGTGTTGAAGGATGTAAAATAACAGACAGAGGTCTAATAAAGGCATCTGAATCTCTCTCAAACCTAGAAGAACTCGATCTGGGTTCAAATCTTATCACTGATGCAGGGATCAAGCAAGCTGTTGGGCATTTAAAAGGGTTGACAGACATGAGTCTGACTGGTTGTATGTCAATCACTGATGCTAGTATTGAAAGTGTTTTGAATGAACTGCCTTATTTGACACATCTTGGTATTGAAGGCTGTCTTCGTGTCTCAGAGGAAGCTGTTGAGAGACTCAGAGAAACAGCAAAATCAGCCATTAGTTTCTTTTAAGTAAGAGGCAAGTCGGTGTGTGTTTGGCACTATTAAATGTCATACCACAAAATGACCAATGACATGTAACAGAAGGTTGAGTTTCCATGAATACTTGAATATTTTTCCTAGATTTAAAGAATTACTGTTGATTAGGAATAGGCTTATTACTGTTATTTTGAACTTTGTTGAATGTATCATTGGAATTGAATTAGCAGCATTTGGGTCATGAGAAGTCATGCCCTAATTAGCAAATATTTGATACTCAGTGCTAATCAGTGTTGGAAAAACTGTGACCAGCATTCTGCGTTATGATGGAATTGTGAAGAGATAATGTTATGTCAAAGCTGTGAACACTAAAAAACATAATTATTTGATAGAACTATAAGAAGCAGATTTAAGAGATACCTTACCATTAAATGAAAAACAGTGTGAAGAATTAAAAGTAACTCATGCGAAGATTTTGTTCATTCATACATTACCTTACGAAAAGACATTTCTGGTTTGAATACACTATTAGAGTGACCTACTTGGTAATAATTTTTACTACATTCTTTTCTGGAACCCTTTGACCTCTCAGAATGACTAGCATCCAATTTTTACCCTACAATATCACTCCTGAATCACACATTAAGGACACAAGAATTAAGGAAATGATCAACTAAAAAGGCTCTTGATCATGAAATTCTCCTTGTCAGCAACATTGGAAATCTATGGAGAACAGTATGAAGAACTTGTATACTGGTCTTAGGGTGAAAGGCTTAACTAATCAATGGCAGTTTGTGTTTTAGTCCAGACAATTTCCTTTGTCACCTTTATTACAGAATTTTTCCATTTTTGTTTGCCAGTGTGATTCACGTGGTTGTGATTTTAAATTATTCATCTCAAAGGAAAGATAAACAGCCAAGCAGGAGTTTTATCAAAGTAACGGTTTGCCACTGTATAGAAGACCTTACCACTGTCTGTTTAGCTTGCATGCTGGCTCTCATGTTTTGGTTTCTCCTTACAGCCCTTTAGTAAAAGTTTTGGAAACCCCAGACTAAGTGGCAGACCACTATATTTTGCATGTTGAGAGTGAATACAGTTTGATGTATACATTCTCTGTAATTTTCACACACTGGTATTATTCATAACTACAGGCACATCTTTTAGTAACTTGGTATTTACATTTTTGATTACTAAAATAGTTTTAAAATATTATCATTGTGGAAGACTTCAGTTATCAGCAATTTTTAATCAGTTCCAAAATAAAGAAAATATTGAAATAAAAGAGTATCTTACCACCTCAATTGGCTAGAGAATGTAATGTTTTCCCTTAGTCACACAACTTAGTTTGTCTCCATTTTACTTCTCAGGTGCCATGATTTTAAGACTCGTTCTATATTTTATTACCTTCCTAGCTCCATGTTTTCCAGACAATTCCAAAATCAACCTAAGTTTCTCTTTCTCTTTCTCTTTCAAATTGAGAACAGAAAAATTCTAACAATGAAGATAAGAAAGACAATTTTAAAAAGTAAGAAGGTGATTGAGTTATTGCGTTTGAGTGAGGATTAGTTGGAGGCAAGTTTTCAATAAGACACCACTTCTCACTTAAAAAAATTAGTTCATAGGGCCTTCAGGGAACTCAAATGGCTGACTTTGCCATGACTTATCCCAGATTCCATAGCAAATGTGTAACACACATAAGAAAGGTTTTTCTAGTTATTGCTCCTCTCATCTAGGGACCTTAAATAGTCAGGACAGCAAGGCCAAGGTAGACATCGCTTTAAAAGTGAATGTTTATTTTAAGTTACAATTTCACCAATGGCTGGACATGGTTGCTGTCTCATATGGCACCGCACTTCTTTTTCAGCATAATGAGAGTAGCATTGAGTTCCAAATTGCCACCAGGTTTAAAGACCAGCTCTGCACACCCAAAACTCCATGGCCACTCCTCTATTACAAACTTGGAAAGAAGGGGGGGGGTAACCTGTGATGGATCAGCACCCCATGGGGCATTACTCCTTGGTGGTGTTAAGATGAAGGAACTGGAAAGAAACTTGTTTGCATACCTAATTTAATGAAACAAGGCACACACCAATCTTTTTTCACAATATTTATTCAAAAAAAGGTTACATTCAATCCTTCAAGAATGCTAGAGATTGAAATCTTCACACAACATTCAGTCTTAAACCATTTTAGACACTCAAGTAAATGTTGAAGAACTCCTTCTGTCATCACTGGCTGATAGTTTCTGTAAGTATAAATATATAACATATGTAAATTTATATATCTATAACACTGAAATGTCATACAGTATTTTTATGCTGCCTTGTCACACCACAAGCTAATTGTAATGATAGCATTTTATGCTTCTATCATAAATTAACTGATAAATAATGAGAGCCTGTGATACACAAGGCACCTTGGTATGTCAGCCCTAATGGCCAAAAAAAAGCCACCTAATATTCCCAGGCAAAATAAAAGGCAAATGACTGTCAATAAAATTCCCTGGTACTGGTCTGATGCCTGTTCCTGTAAATTCTCTTCACTCACTACTGCAAATCACCCAAATTATATCCATGGACTTTTGAAAGTGAGATCCAGGCAAAAATTGAAGAACCAAATCTTGTAAAGGAGAATACCTACACAATCTTCCTGCTGATCAAATTTGCTGCAATTAGGACATAAAATCTCCTAATATAGCACCAGCTAAAGAAACTACAACTAACTTGCTTGCCCAGCTTGCTTGCCACCCTCCCATTTAACAGACTTCATAAGAGAATCTTCACGTTTCAGAGCCTCTACTCGTAATTCTGGCTTGAGACATCTTCTAACCAGCCTTGCACAGATAGATGAATAGTTCAGATAACTACAAAGGAAAAAAATAATGACTTATTTGTTAAACACTTTAGCATATAAAACATCATCACCTTCCTTCAGGCTGGAAAGTGATAGGTACATTATTACACAAACAAAGAAGGCTGGTAACACAAATAATTCCTCACTTAATTAATGTTTACTTGGCATTCAAAAAAAACCTGAGAAATGTATAATTTCCACTGGTGCATCAGGATCTGAGATGATTTAAAAGGAGACATCGTTCTGATGTAAAAAGATCCACAATCAAACGATCGAGATATTTCTCTAAGGTTCTTTCATCCCAAGGGTGGGAACATTGTCTAATATTTTTCCATCAATAGAGCAATCTCAATTCTACATCTTCATTGTTTACCAGTACAACCCACTTTTGGGAAAATTTTTGCCCAAGCCTACCTGGTAAGACACCAAGCTTTTATCATTCTAACCCATACCAAAAAGTGTGACATAGGAGTATCGTATTTGCAAGCAGAGGGATTCTTGTGGTATGAACTATGATAGAGGGTTACAAATTCTTTAACGTCATAAGGCAAATATTAATCGTTAAATTTCACATAATACCGACCAAATATTTGTTACTTTCCGAATACAACCAAACAGGATAGTTAAACAAGAGTATTTGCATGTTTCCCTCTCTTGAAATTAACAAAAGAAACCAAAACCATCGAAGATATCCTTACCTTAGACCAGCCTGTCTCCAGTACGACACCATCTTGGATTCTCGGTGCCTCGCAGTGCGCGTGCGCCAGCATTATACTTTTCTGTCCAATCACACTTGTGGGCTCAAAAATCTACCGGCAAATGTTGAGCATGCGTTGTGGTAATGAAAGAAATGGAAGTTCTGTCATGGCGAGCCAGCAAGTTACCGAAGGTAAGTGACTTGCAGAATATTCACTTCACCTTTGATGTTATGAAAAATTGAGTGAGGATTTCCCGTTTCCCGCAAATGTCTCCGCTTGTTTGCAGATCTGAAAGCATTTGAACGGAGGCTCACGGAGTACGTGCAATGTTTAGGTCCACAAACTGGCAAATGGAGACGTAAGTCTTTTAAAATCGAACTCACAGTTTTAAAGCGTATTTCTGATCAATATTTTAGGTTAAGTATCTTTTTTGATTGTCCAAGTTATGGTTAAAATATGCGCGATGTAAAATTGGTCCTGAATGTTTCTGAACGTGTTGTAATGCTCAGAAGAATATGACAGTTAGGGGTGTTAATTGTCTCTGCGAATCCTTCAACTAAAAAATTCCGCCTCGATGTAAGTTAAGTCTGACCGATTTTTTAATTGTTTTGCAGTTATTCTTGTTCTGTCGTCAGTTGCAACCGCTGCAGGAGCCTGGGGATTAATCACAGATAATCAACATGTAGGTTTGACACTGTGAAAATCCATGCAAATTAGCAAGTTCACAATTTTAATTGGGTTTTTCATATCATACCTGGCGATTGTCACATGTTGTGCAGAACTCTCATTTTGGCTGATCAAAAAATTAATAATTCTTGCATGCCCTCTTTTAAATTACAACCAATATTTCATAATCATGAAGAATATATGATTACCCTGCTAAGAAAGCACACCATCAAGAAAACATGTGCTGAAAATTTTAAGTCGGAGCAGCTTCTATCAGAGAAAAGACAATGTGAAAATGTGTACTTTTTTTTTTTTTAATTTGAAATTATCCTTGCTCAATGGGAAGGACACATGGCTGATTTGATCATTGACTGCATAGACCAAGCACCTTTGAAATGTGTTTTCGCAACTGTAACAATTTGGATTATATGATTTATGTTTAGGTTATAAATATTGTAAGTAAGAATTATCCATCAAGCCTTTGACCTTCCTCGCTGAAAAAAGTCAGTATAACCTGTTTGCTTTTATGACCTTGTTTGCAGCATCCTTCACTACTGCAGTATCTGTGGCATCATAAATTTTTCACAATCAGTTGCTGTAATTTATTCATTTTATTTATGCTGGGAATTCATAGGAGAGTTATGGCACCTCAAATGTATCCTTCTCTGAAATCTTAGAGTTCAAACTTTTGCATAAAATATTTGTATCAGTAAAACTATTTTACTCAGCAAAGTCCCCAGCATAGCAAAGTCTCCCTTTTTGGTGGCCAGATTACCATGCAAGATTCAATGTGGCATGGTCTGTAGACAAATTTCAGCACATTTCAGGACAATTTTGAAAGGGTTAAGTTACTCATTGGAATATCCAAACATGGTCAGTATTACCACTTTGCGTAAACTTTTCAATGGTGAGGATTGAAAAATTATTGTTTCATAAATATGCCTCTCTTAGGGAATATACCTACCTCTCCCTACAGGAGTCAAGCAACTGCCACCAGAGCGCCATTCAGAGTTTCCAAGAAAAGACAGAAAATCTTTTTTTTTAAATCTTTTTGACAACCCTGACAATTTGTTTACCCTATTTTTGTGATGTAGAGGAAAGAGGAGCTTTTCCAGAATCATGTGTTAGTTATAAACAATTGTCCTGCATGCAATACATGGAGGTTTCCCATCCACAGTTGTTGGACCCTTGTATTTCGTTTGTGTTTCTTTAACTTGTGTGTAATAGAATTTTAGCAAGAACAAGAGTAGTTTTAGAGGATTATAACATGTCCTGTGATGAGGTAAGATCTTTAGTTTTCAATGGCTTTGTTATGCAGTTAAGTGGTGAATGTGATTTTTTAAACCTTTTTTTTAAGCAGGTAAACTTGTTTTCTTAATATTGGGCAACAAACAGTAATGTTGAACTTGGAAGACAAGCGCAATCTTAATTGTGTTAAAAGGCTCCTTGTAGAGTCATTATTACTGTTGATAATCATTATGTATTACAATTTGACATTACCTTTAAAGCAAGAACAAGACCAGTAACATGGACCCAAAAAATAGTAAAGGGAAGTTTAAATTTTTTTTTTGAAGGTCATTATTTGGGTGTCCATATCTTTCATTCTATTTTTTGAGAAAGTCTCAAAGTCTGACAGACTTAGAGATAAGTATACACTTTACTTCATGCATGCTCTTTGGAAGGTAATATTAGGAATTGTTTTTAATGTGGATTACAATGCGTACCATTTTATTGAATGTCCTCTTCTTTCATTTCAGAAGGGAAGACTTATTCTGCGACCAAGACCATCTTGACCCATGCTTTTAAAGTACATAATTATGAAATGACTTTTTTTGTTATTCATAGTAGAAGATATAGTCCTGAGTTTCAGTACCTCAGAACCGAGAATTTTTTAGAAAATAGTCTCCATTTTTGAGGAACAAGGGCAACTAAAATTATGAATCATAACTATCTTTTCTTTTCCCCCTTTACTTAGCAGTTAGACATTGCAATACATTACAGTGAATAGGAGAGGATAAAATGGATATCTTACCACACAGTAACGTGGAGCAAATTCAGACTCGAACCTCAAATATTGCAAACAAAAGATTTCATTTCATATGAACTTTAAGATGTATTAGTATATGTTTTAGAAACAATTGGATGTATAGTTAAACTTTAAAAATGTTTTATTCATATATTGGGATGTGATGTCAACATCTCAACACACAGTAGTTCTTAATAATCATTTGGACGATAACTGTATTTGATGACTTTTCAGGCATTGGTGAAGGTGATGCCTAGTCCAAGGGGCTTAATTTTTTGTTTGTTGTAACAAGGTGATAAAGACTCAAGTTTAATTAATAGACATTAAAAAAGACAGGAGGTAAAGTGAAATTTTCAGACATATGGAATTCTTGGAGACTCATTGTCATTTACCAACAAGGATGTTTTGTTGTTAGTAATTACAAGCCTCTAAAAAGAAATTCCGGAATTTTTTTTATATTTTTTTTTCAGAAATGTTGTTATATCTCCATTTTATATTTCCATGTTAAAAAGCCACTAGGTGTAGAGCTTGAGGTGCCAGGCATGACCTTAATTTTGATGATAATTATGCAATCTTTGAGAGAAATATCAGGAACTCGGAGGGCTGAAATTAAGTATTGTACTCTGCAGTTTGTCCTCAGGAAAGTTTGACTGTGTTACTTTGGAAATTTGCATGTTATTCACAAAGAAATGCAAGCAAACATTTTCATTTCTATATTTTATTTTGGTGACTTTGATTTCTTTCATGAATTTTTGCAATCAATGATATGAATATGTTTTTTCATGAAAAAGAAGATTGTATTAGGGCTTGTATTAGGATTGATTAATATACAATAACTATAATCATTCTACTTACTGGAGTCCAATGAAATCAGTGTCCTACAATTACTGGCTCCAAGTCTCACCGTGTTGTTAAGTAATATTTTTGTAAGTCTGATGTTTAAAGGAATATAAAAGTGGTAAAGGAACTGAAATTGCTCTTTCAGTCTGTGATTTCAGGTGCTTAATTTTGGAAATCTTATCAATAAAGTTTGTTGTGGAACTTATTTGTTAGTAAATTTTCCGGCACGCACTTATTTTTTCTACCATTAACTGGCACATCAGTTGAGCCACAGTGACCATGACTCTCAAGAAGGAAGGTGAATGACTTTAACCCTCTGACCCCTAAGACTGACCAGCATCTAATTTCTCCTTATAATATCACCCCTGAAAAAAGACATTAACATCATGAAAATAAAGGATATGATCACTAACTAAGGAAGCTCTTGATTATTCAACAAATTCTCCTTGTCAGCACCTAAGGAAACATATAAAGAACAGTATGGAGAATACTGATATCAGGGTGTAAAAGGTTAAAAGAGATCTACTGCTACACCATGCAGGGCATTTGTCTTCAATTATCTGAGCCTTGCTGCTGTGTTAGATGAAGTATTCTTCGTGTTCCTGGCCATCTTTCATTTTACTGAATGGCAGTTTTGCAGTCGGTCAATGCCTTATGTTTCCTCATTTTTCGGTTGCAAACCCTGAATAATTTAATCTTGGATATTCGAGAGGGATTCAACAAATGTGCTTAAACATTTTCCTACCTTCAGAAAATTTTCATTCTAAGATGGTAGATGGATGCGTGGTAAATTGCAATGCTGAAATGAATACCTTGGAAGAAATTCGATCAAGGGTATTACAGAGCCGCAAGGGTCCTTTGTAACTGAATTTACTGGAAATCAAGTTAGATTTTCATGCCTTTTCAAGCTGCGACCTGATTGAGCTCCGTGTCATTACCCAAAACATGGGACATACAATTATACACGTCATAAACACATTTGCTTTTGAAATCAGTTTATTTTCCTTTAAATATGGGTGATGCTTTATCTCAAATGTACAGGCCAACCGAAGGAAATGTCCAAAGGACATTGTCAAATTTAAAAGCTTCATTTACAACTTCAACAGATTCGCTTTTCATAATGTTTCCCTTTAAACGAAGGTTTCTTTGCTTTTTGTGATTAAAACTTCATTTCTGAGTCTTTCTGCAAAGAGTTCGTCGTCACTCGCATCATAAGGTACATCCCACACTTGGAGATCATCTGCGTCCTGTACAAAACACAGGGGTGGCTTAAGCACCGCCTTGTTCAGGTCACTCGTTGAACGCACAGGACGCAGATTCTCCTGCCATGTTTTGGCGCTCATTTTGGAAACTGGAGATGGATCATACAGATCTTCCCAGAAAAACTCCGCCTTCTTTTCCATCGCTTGAACATCTTTTTCCAAGGCTGTTTTTCGAATTCCGCATTCACTGTGGAGCGAAAAAGTAACGTATTAACGCTTGTTGTCATTCTGTCTCATCCCATCCTATCGCTCCATCCATTCATTCATTCGTTACATTTTAAGAGTTAAGTATACCTAAGTCCTACTTGCATTTTTTTTAAGTCCTACTTACATAATAAGTGACATCAGCTCTTTGCGCTCTTCCAATGCTCGTCCCAGTTCACTCTCAATCTCCACAACTTGAGCCATCAGATTGTATCTGGTGTCTCTTCTCATCTTTTCTTTCTCCTCCACTACTTTTTGTCGCTGCTTGAACAGCTCAACAGTATTCCTGTTTAGAAACAATTATCTCAATTGAATGCACTTTTAAACAACCAACTCTTCCGCGACTTGCACGCAAAACTTAATTTCACATCCAAACTGTGCGCACAATTAAATGAGAAAACGGACATTGCGAGGATCCTTCACTCCGAATGTCGATTATTCACTTTCTTCACATGTTACTGCGAGATCCCCAAATAATATAAAAGTTCTACTATTTTCATCACCTTGTGATCTGGATATCTTGTTCAAGTATTCTGATCAACTCTTGCATGCTTGAGATTTCTTTTTCCATTTGTCTCCTGTGGGCGACAAGAGAGAATCGATTGTGAGTTAAAACAAAAGAAGTAAGATAGTAAGGCGAGAGCACTCACTTGGTCCGCAAAATGATTCTTACTTCGACTTTTGGTTTCTTTGAGCAGAAGCAAAGCAGTTCAAACGTCTGAAAAATCGTGAAATTCCCATTTCCAATTTGTAACTTTGTGACTTAAATCTCCGAAGGATCTTAGACGCGCAGTTTACACAGTGTTCTCAACTGAACTTGTCTACGTATGTAGAGTTATCATTGTGATGCTACAAACACGGCGTGCGCGAGCTATGGCTCGCGCATTTGAAAATCAACGTGGTATGTAATTTTAGAATATGGCGGGTAAGAACTTGTCAAGTTTTTCTTCACGCTCATTAACTAGGAAAGATATGCGTTTAGATTTCATATCTTCCAAATCGTTTCTCTTGTGTCAAGTTTCCTTTAATTTACAAGTTCTCATGCTTCATTCTATTAAGAAAAACCATTCGTCTCTTGCAGAAAAAAAAAACAGTCAGTAACTTTGTACAACAAGGTTCTGGACTACGTGTTCCATTTTTTCCCTTTCTGCTTTTCTTTTCAATAAGCACATTAGTTTGGACGCTTCGCTTCATCAAAACGGAAGTTCTAATACAGCATTCAGTCCAGTTGTGTTCAGTCTACATTAAGTCCTCGGTATGGGAAAAAGGAATAAAGAAAGTCTAAATGCAGTGGGAATCTAACACGTTGTAGAAATTAGAAACTAATTGTATATCAAATGTCTTTCTCTAAAATAAAAGAAAGAAGCGTGGAAGAGAGGGCTGAAGGGTGGGCCAAGGAATAAAGGTGCTATTCAGTCCCAGTTTTAACTCGTACAACGTTTGGATACACCATTTCATTGTAGTTCCCTTTACAGGTAGGGTGTCATAGGTTTCTTTTAAACAAGTCGCCTTGCGGGAACCTATGAAACAATACAGCCAGTCCATAAACTAACTAAGGCTGTGGAAAAAAATGTTTTTCTCCTTCGTTGAAGGACTACTACGGTAGTCATTATAGTCAAAGTACTGCACGTGACAAAGAAAAAATAAAAAACTGTTGCGACAAAAAAAGGAACAAGAAAACACATTCTTCGACAGAATATAACATTTTGATAGCTTCGAAGGTTAAAACTTTAAACTGAATTTAAAAGCTGAGATTTTTAGCACATTTAAAAGAGAGATTCAGGAAAAAAACTCACACAAACACAAACCCAACGCAAAATTACGCAGATTCCCAATGGTACGCTATTGTCTTTGCCATTGTTTCCTACAAACAAAGAATTGTACGCGTTATGAAGTACGATTTTTTCGCAATTCTTGTCACACGGCTACCGACGATGCTGTAAAAACGTTGAGAGACTTCCGCAAGGGGAAAATTTGGACGAAGACTGTTAAGATTTGAACAAGACAAACCTTAATTCCCTCCATAGGAGGTACTGTACAAGAGCTAAAAAAATGAGGTGTAGATTTTAGTTGCAGTTGTTGTTTGTAACATTCCACAATGAAGTCACAAGGTGACACCCCTATCTAATTTGTTCTATTGTTGAGTCAGGTGGCACAATCAACACTTTTTGACTGGCTCGGCCCCATGGGAAAAAGTGAACAAAGTAAGTCTTCAGGCACTAAAGAATGATACTACCCTCTATAGCGCTCTCACCCGCATTTTCCATCAGAAGTCTGCAAACTGCGTCGCGCGTATCTTATCGTTGCTCCCGTTCAAGCTGCGGACTGCAAAGGGCAGAGTGGTGGAGGAACATGTTTCCGTTGGTTTAGGTAGGCCCTTTCATCGTCTTTTATTGTAATTTACGAGCTGCGTATTTGCTTATTCTGGTGTCAATGACACTGAGAGCAAGGAATCTGAGTTGTCAACATTGCACCCTCAGTTGCGTGCGTTGAATTTGAAAGAAACTGAATGGCTTGGGTCAAATTTTTTCCCACAGACGTATTGAATTGTAATTTTTGAAGAACCATGAATATCTGGTGGTTTTATTTGTGACAGAAAATTGCCATTATCAATTCTACAATCCCTTACGAAATAAACTAACTCACGCTCTACCACACGGCCAGTTTTGAAGATGCTAGCTTGGCGCGTTTCGCCCTGTTATTGCTTTGGAGAGATTGAGAGGTTCAAGGTCATTTCCATTGGCATCTATTTTTCTCTAAATAGAAGTCAATTCGATATAACGAAAAAACATATTTGAACTATCCTTGACTGCGCGCCTTTCCCTTTATATTTTTTTCTGGAGCGAAATGCCGTTACGCGTCCACTTCGCCAGCGTCTTTGCCGAATTCATTAGTTTTAGGTTTATTTGTTATTTTATTTCTCCATCATATTGCAATACAATGAAATGAAGAGGAAAAGAGCAAAGAGAAAGATTAGCTAATACCATAACCTAGTTGATAAATACAGCGTATATGTATAACAAATGTTAAGGTAATGGAGAGTATTAATACATAGGATAAACAAAACAGAAAATAGTGATAAAGAAAGTACTAAATAAAAAAAAAATATATAAATTTAGGCTTTGTTACGTGCGTTGGTTTGTGCTAGGGTTGTAATGTGACAATGTCACTTGTGGAGTATGCAAAGAGAGATCTAGAAAGATAGATGCCTTCTCTCAGCACGAGAATAAGCATTCCTTCTCTGTTGAGTAATACTCTATTTTACAATGAAAGTTCAAGTTGAAATGATTTGAATTTGGGTAAGAAAGGTAATGGAGATTAAAGGTCTACTGGCTGCTGAGTTGTTCTGCGTCAGTTCTTGATGTGAAAATACATATACTGATTGAGTATTTTCAGTGTATTCTGGTTTTACTGGTTTTAAGCCGTAATGCTGCAAGTATTACAGCTTATCCAAATTTTTAACTCGCAGCCTCCAAAGAGGCATCTGATGCAATGTGATTCTTGTTCAAACCTGCCCATTTGGTTTGTTGTGTTTGGTGATCATGTCACAACTTAATGTTTTTAACCTGGGGTTAATGGCACAAGCACATACAGAGGCACAAGGTCTCAGTCTTTACGATGTCGTTCGAACATCGTATACTTTGGCGATATGCTCGATTATATTTCCTGATTAAGAGATCTTTGGGTATTCCTGTACGAGGCATACTTCGTTTGATTCCCCACCATGTGTTTTCGATGCCATGAGTATGAATGCCTGTGCCTGGGTCCACGAAGTTTGGGCTGTGGTTCACTGTGAGATGATTGTGGCCCTCGTCCTGTAGGCAATCATAAGCTTTCCACGTGTCGCTGATTACGCATGTTCCCGGCAATATTTGAGCGCATATAATGGGTATGAGTGTATCTTTATCCCTGCGCTCTACCAGTACAAGGAAGCAGGCCTTGGTTTCACGGCAAATGCCACCAAAGACCCACTGTCCTTCGACGAAGCGACCGCGATGATACTTCATCTTACCAAACTTGGACTCGTCAATCTCAACAGTAGTACCAGGTCCACCTATCAGCCCCTTATGATGTTGCATTATTCTTTCGGCACAAACCTCACGGTAGTAGTGATACCAATCTACCACCGTTTCTGTGGACGTTTTTTCGTCGTCCAGTGAGGTTTCGTGCACTGCTTGTGAAGTAGTGAAATTATTTGCCCAAGCGTATGTTAGGGCTAATATTTTTTCAATGGAAAGCTTACTACCAGAAAACCAAGAATTCTGGCGTATTGATGCCATTCCATTGCAGTTTTTCTTAGAGCATCGCCATTCGTACCCATCTCGCGATGAACTTCGACGAGTCCAACGTAGTGCATTGCAGCAGGTACTCTTAGGACATGGAAACGACGATGCGAGCAGGTTCTTTGCACCACTGTATGCACCTGTCGTGGTCCAATAATATTTTTGTCAGTTTAAAGAGGTTCATTTCACGCGGAGGTGGAAAAGACGACGACGAAGAAGCAGCAGACGACGAAGACATAATACGACGAAGAAACAAACACGTACGAACGGACGAAGGACCAACAGGAGAAGTATGAAGAACGATTCAAAAACGGGCGATGAGAAAACGATATAAATTGAGGAAAATAAACTTGTAAAGATTTTGAATATTATGAAGATTATTTTTTAAGAAGCCACTAATTGGCAATGAAATTTATTAGAAAGGCTGCACTTTTATACTTCGATTAAACAAAGATTAACATTTCATTTCTTCGTGCAAAATCCAACATGTTTTAAAGGTGAGGAAAATGATTTCAATGTTAATTTTTGGAATTTAAATAAGGTATTACAAATATAATTTTGAAAGTTACCCTATATTGGCAACAAGCACATGTAGAACAATGGTATAGAGGATAGACTGCTAGTCTGACGAAGAAGATAGAGGATTGAGAGTTCAAACCCTACAGGCGATGGAGATTATGAGAATGCTCCCTTATCTGAGGAGGGAAATGGCGTGGTGCTCTGTGTTTTGTTTGTTGTTGTTGTTGTTGTTTTTTTCGGACAGTTGCGGTGGAATTTACATGCAGAAGAGAACACTTATTGTTTACGTATTATTCATAACAAACATTGAAAAGAAGGTAATATGTTAAGGTGAAAATTGGTGGAGAAACTGGTGCTGTGTGTCAGTGGAGAGAGAGAAATATTGTGGCGGTCTGGTCTTTGCAGACAGTTCGAGGGGATTTTACATTTTACAAGAGAACACTTGTTGTTTATGCATTATACTTGAAACTTTAAAAAAAACTTACTTGAAAAAGTAAACTGAGGTAAAATTTGCTGCTGTGTGCCAGGAGAGAGAGAAATATTGGCGGTGGTCTGGTATTTGAGGTCAATTTGAGGGGGATTTTACATCGTTCAAGAGGACACTTGTCGCTTATGCTTTACACTTAAAAGCATTGAAAATCTGAAATTGATATGTTGAGGTGAAAACTGGTGTAGGATTATATTTTTTTCAGCAGTAAAAATTCTGAACTTTAAAGAATACTCTACACATTGGTTTGTGTTGGAGATTGTTGTGTACCGTCGGAAAACAATGGCACTACAACATTGGACATAGAAATGTTATTGTCCAATGAACAAGATTAATAAAGATTTAGGTGGTGGAGAATATTAGTAAATAGGATAAGAATAACCAAACAGAAAATAATAATAGTGAAAAGAAGGAAAAAGAAATGAAAGCTATCTCTAACTCAAATTAAATTA